GAAGCAATCCTGGGGATAGGAGGCGAGTAAGCCGGCATGTGAAAGCAGTGATCCTGAAGAGACCAGGACAAAAGAAGAAATCGAAGCACTCTACTCGATTCACTACCTGAGTGTTATCTGAGTGCATACAACAGGAAACAAAGATACACTAAAATGTGTTCACAACATGAGGACATTAACTGCACCAACACTTATCAAGCAAACTTTAACATTCGGGAAATGATTGTAAGCACGGGAAAGGAGGAGAAAAGTTCAAACGGATACTCAGACTTTATTTATAATGTGTTGCTTTATGAACTGGATCATGGTGTAAACTGTTTGAAAGTGATGAAATGGGACAAAGTTGATTGATTTATGTTGTTTTCTTTGTATTGGTGTTTTGCGCCTTGTGTTGGTATTGGCTGTATCTTACCTCTTGCAGTGTTATTATTCGGGGGGGGGTTTGTTGAGGAAATTTGTAGATACTGGACAAGAAAGATCCAGGAGACTCAGATGGCTTAAGTGGAGGTCGTTTATAGATGACTCTGGATGATAAATGACATTAACAGCACACATGTAATACAGTGTCTTGCTAAGCCAGTTCTGCTGGACGGTCCGAAAGGCTTCTTATTTATCCTGAAAAGCATCTGATGAACACAGCAAGAATGTGAAGTTACAGACAGAGGAGGGCCGACACCAACTCTGCTAAACAAAAAACACTTGAAGAAGACACAACAAAAGTGACCTTATTTGTCATCGTAAGGCCAACCTCATTAGTGAGCTGTGACTGCACTGATGTGTTGTCATATCCTTATTGCAGGCGACTCTAAATCTCACTGCGATGTCTGGACATGTACAGAGAAAACAGAAATCCCATCACAGCAGAGCAGAGCAGAGCAGGCACTTCACATTTTCAAAGGCTTGCTGACATTCTGAAGACCAGACAAATTTGGCGTTGGCCTTCAGAAGCTCAGTCAACGGGAACACTAACGGGGAAAAGTTTTTGCATAAACAAAATAAAAGTAATATTCCAACAACCCCAAAAAACGCTGCAGCTATTTTTTGGTTGCTGGCTGAGGAAATTTAGAGACATCCAAAACTTTGGCGTCAACAGGAGCAACGCAACCCCGCCCCACCACATGACAAAAGGCTAATACACTGCACAACAACAACAACAACAATAACCGTATTTATAGATTAAAAAAAAGCATTTGACACAATTGATCATGAATTATTATTATTGAAAAAACTAGAGAGATATGGTGTTGGAGGAACAGCACATGCATGGTTAAAAAGTTACCTGAACAATAGATATCAGTATGTTCAATATATCTACATGTATCAAAATGTAGATTCAGATATGTTGAAAGTTACCTGCGGGGTTCCACAAGGTTCGGTGCTAGGCCCCAAACTGTTTATACTGTACATAAATTATATCCGTCGAGTGTCTACTACTTACTACTACTACTACTACAACAGTGATATAAAGCAATATCATTGAATACGTATTATTGGTTTTTAGAACACACTTCTGAGGAGAGAAATGAAAAATATGACTAAGATTACATTCTTGTAGCAGTTGTGTTGCGTACGAGCTCCTGGTTTATGGATGACTGCATATCACTTCTCAGTCAAGTACTTTTTTTTTTTTCAGATTCTCCTCTAAGGATTTTATACGTCTGACCGAATTCCAACTCAATCTTTATCTCTCCTTATCTGTCTGTTACACTTGCTCAAAACCAGCCTGTGAGGCTTAGAATACATTTGTTCCCATTCAAGGGTGACATCAGAAGAGACTGGAAAAAAGAACTTCACTCTGACAATTCAAAGATGGAGTCTTGTTCTTCTTCTGTGATGCCTCTGCAAACACCCACATACCAGAATTTAGCGATTTTTTTGTTGTTGTTGTAAGGGATAAATTAGATGATATTTGAACAGAAGCTTTGTACGTGCCAATCTGATCTTAAAAAGCTTATCTTTGGTTCCGTAATGACTCAACAGTTTAAGCACGAGTTAGAGTCAGAGACAATGAGAGTACTGAGAAATCCAATCAAATCTTCCAAATCCAGTCAGATCCCGCTGCCTCATAGGAACACGTTTAACTCATTTTCATTACTAACACGCTGTGACTTTTGAGTGCACGCTGAGTAATGGGGGGACAAAGTGATATCAGGCCTTTGTCGACATCAGACGTAGTACCAGGGGCTGAGATGGTGCCACTAAAACTGGTCTTGTCCCCCCCCCCTCCCCCCGTATTACCTTTGCCACACTTCACCGCGCTCACAGAGAGCAGGGAGAATTGAAATTTCAGTTCGCCTTTAAATCTCATCCATTTTTACAAGACTCTGTGTTGTCTTGGCTCCCACACAGACGAGCATTCCCATTCTGAAAGTGAATATCAAACATCAGCCGGGCCAAAGGAGGAGGAGGAAGAGGAGGAGGAGGACTGTAATTGTTGGCGTGCACAATAGGCTGTAGGGCCGCAGGAGCAGTTACAGACAATCACGGTCTTTTCAATCGGCCTCAGATGGTGTGATTAGGGAGCGATCTTACAGCAGGCGGCAGCATCCAAAAAAATCTAATTTTTAGGGCAGTCACAGCGATTTCTCCATCTGTTCGCTGGAGAGTCGATGTCGCTCCTTAACACAGGTAGACAGGCGTCAGATTGGCCTGCTGCCTCATCCATGTTTCAAGGAGGGCGCACGTGTTATGGAATATATAAATCTATGAACGAGAGGAAAAAATAAAACCGTAAAGTGTTTGTCTGTTTTTGTCTTGTCTGACAAGAAAATCTTTCTATGCTTTTAATCTGGAAAATAACCACATTTTTTAGCCTCATTCAAAAATGAGAAATGGCACAAACATGGTGCACGCACACGCGCACAACAAATCACTTCACAGGGTACTTGGAGGAAGCGCTGAGATGGATGCATGGAGAGGTTTTTGTTGAAGGATGTCCTCAAGACTTTGTCTCAGTGTCAGAATTCAACTTCTGAGAAACAGAGGAGTTAAATGCTGAATCTGAAGTTTTCATATTCTGGTATATTGATAAAACTACACACACACACGTCGCTGAAACTTATAATGTGACTCAGTAGTGTGTATGGACCCCACGTGCCTGTATGCCCTCACAACAATGTCGTAGCAAGCTCCTGATGAATCGGTGGATGGTGTCCTGGGGGGAGATCTCCTCCCAGACCTGGATCAGGGCATCAGTGAGATCCTGGACAGTCTGTGGGCAGCCTCAGATGCTCTGATACAAAAGGTCCCATAAGTTCTTGATTAGATTTTGGTCATCCAGGAACTGCCTACACACTCTGACCACATGAGGACAGGCATTGTGCGGCACCAGGAGGAACCCAGGGTCCACTGCACCAGCGTAAGGTCTGATAATCCCTCTGAATATTTCATTTCAGTACCGTTGGCTATGGCCATGGGGGTCTGAGTGACCAAAGTCATGCTGGATGATATCATATCTACATCTATCATATCATCTGTAATGATGGGCACTGGTGGGTGACAGGGCTCCTCCTGATACCGGTCCAGCCTCTCTCAGACTGTGCTGGGAGACGCCGCAAACCTTTCTAGTGACTGCACGTACAGATGTGCCGTCATGGAGGAGCTGGACTACCTGTGCAAACTGATTGGGCAACAGGTACCACCTCATGCTACCAGTAAGTGACAAGGACACAAGCAGAATACAAAACCAGAGGAATCAGTCAGGAAGGATAAGGAGAGAATGGTCGTCTGTGGCCACCACATGCAAACATATTCCCTTTCTGGGGGTCGTCTAACCCGTTTTTTCCTCTACATTTTATCTGTTCACACAAAAGCTGGTGAAATTGATGCACAATCACCTGTGCTTCCTAAAAGGACAGACTGATATTTCACTTGGTGTTATACTGTGATGATTGAGTGTTACTTTAATTGTTTTGAGTAGTGCATACCAGTGAATGGTGTCGTGTGAAAGAACAAGTCAAAAGTGGTAAAAGTGGCACATGTAACAATTTTTAGCAGCAGTAAAAAAAAAAAAAGAGGGAAACTATTTCCCTCAGTGTACAAGTGCTGCTAAATACTGTATGTGTGATTGTGAGATCAGCAGATCTTTAATAGATGTTATCTATAAAGTATGACTATTTCATAAACATACACAATCAGACATTCTTAAATCTTCCTTTTGATCAACTCTTAAAATTAATCACAATCATCTTAAACGTGGATTTCTCTTAATTTATAAAGTTAGAAAATGTCTACAACTGATCTCACACCAAGTTAAGAGTAACACTGCACCCTGCTGGTGAAAATGTTCAACTGCAGTAAGACTTGTTCACCACTTTACCTGATTTTGCTGAAAAACTGAGAATAATGAAATTAATGTATCATTGCTTCATCATCCTGTTAACTGTTCAGTCTGTGTGTCTCAAGAGCGGGACATATGCACAAAATAAACATTATTCCCCAAATAATATTCTCATGATACACTTTCACTTCAGCAGATGATTATCATACAGAATGGCTATTGCAAAACCTAAAGAAACAGGAACAGCATTAACGTGTAGAGCGGGAAGTCGTACATCAAAGTAGATAAATGCTTTGGGAAGGTTTATTTGCAGAGGTTTAGAGCTTGACTTCAGAATGCACTTTTATTTAAACATGTCTATTGGACCTCTACAGGCCCTGAGTGACTTAGGCTTATACAACATCGGCCATTTCAGGAAGTTTGTCAGTAGAGCAGAAATAAAGGATGCTCTCAAGTTCTAGGTTTTCCTCTAAATTTGACCTCCTTTAATGAAAAGTGGCAACAGAAGAGGGGCACAGCGACTTAAGTGCTTTTAAGGCTAAGTATGTGATGTAAGTATCTGTATGCAATGCTTGTAAGTAAAATCAGAGTGATCTATATCAGAGCAGATATGCAATGCAACTTGCCATATGCAAAGAAACATGCCGGGCATCTTCTATCACCTTTATTTTAAGTGGACTGCCATTCATTGAAGAGGAATAAAGAACATCAGAACACTTTCTATAAATGTGTATTTATCTTTATTGGCCAGAACAGCTCAGACAGGACTCTATATTTTGCAATCTTGGCGTCGACATGATTTTCTGCCAGCTTGGTCACTTTCTTTCTTGCCGTAGCCGAGCTTGGCCTTCTCTTTTCTCTTCTGCTCCAGGGTGGCTGTGTGACAGAAAATCAAAGTCAGTATGTTTCATGTGCCTCACAGGTAAAATACTGACCCCAGCTCACCAGATAATCCATTCCAACACAGTTAGAAATATAGTCCAAAGTTGGTTTTCTTTTATATTACTTAAAAAATAAAAAGCCAAGTTCTTTGTTCATGTATTCAAAATGCACATTTGAATTTTTGTTTAACACTTCAAGGTGAGGCACAAATGGCCCCCTGACTCAACTCAGCAATCAGATCCGAAAAGTTTGTCTCATCAATAGATGATCAGTTTCGGGATAAAGTGTTCATCACTGTCAAGTCAGAATTGTTTCCAAGTGTGAATTGAATTTAAAATCAAACATGGTAAACTCGTAATCAAATGTTTGGGGCTCACCTTGCGAGTGGGCTTCAGACGCACAATCTTAAGAGCAGCTGGAACAACCATGCGCTTCCTCTGTGGAATAAATGACAAAGTCAATAAAAGAAGAACACACTTTGTCTCTACATAGAGAGGATAAGCATGTCTCAGAAATTAAGACTTTTCATAATCACAATTCAAACAAAGGTAGGTAAGGATTAGGAATAACATCACAGACAGCTGAGCTGAAACCAGGGCACATCATGTGTGTAATGTGGCCCGGTGTTTTTAATGAGAGAAACTCACCTTGTCATAGGGTGGAGGAATACCATCGAACACCTTCAGCCTCTCCAGAGCAGCCTGGCCTCTCTTTGTTTTGTGGGGCAGCATGCCTGAGGAACAAGAGTCTTGTTAGTAAAATACATTTTCTCAAAACAACCATTACAGCAAGTTTGTATCCATCTTACTCAACTCAGCAATCAGATCCGAAAAGTTTGTCTCATCAATAGATGATCAGTTTCGGGATAAAGTGCTCATCAGTGTCAAGTCAGAACTGTTCTCCTTATTTAAGCATTTTAAATTTCACTTCAGCACATTTGTTGTTTTTACAGCCAAATAAGCTCTACATTTGAATTCGAGTGAATTTTAAGTCAAACACTAAGCTTGTAATCAAATGTTTGGGGCCCACCTTGCGAGTGGGCTTCAGACGCAGCTGGAACAACCATGCGCTTCCTCTGTGGAATAAATGACAAAGTCAATAAAAGAAGAACACACTTTGTCTCTACATAGAGAGGATAAGCATGTCTCAGAAATTAAGACTTTTCATAATCAAAATTCAAACAAGGTAGGTAAGGATTAGGAATAACATCACAGACAGCTGATCTGAAACCAGGGCCAAACACATCACGTAATGTGGCCCTGTGTTTTTAATGAGAGAAACTCACCTTGTCAAAGGGTGGAGGAATACCATCGAACACCTTCAGCCTCTCCAGAGCAGCCTGGCCTTGTGAGGGCAGCATGCCTGGTGAACAAGAGTCTTGTTAGTAAAACACATTTTAAAAAGTAACAATTACAGCAAGTTTATATTTATCCCAGCACAAATGATCATTCTTACTCAACTCAGCAATCAGATCCGATAAATTTGTCTCATCAATAAATGATCAGTTTCGGGATAGGGGTCATCAATGTCAAGTAGAAACAACTTGTGCTGGGAAACTATATTAAATATATTAATCTTTGTAAGGTTGCACATTCTTAGCCACCAGGGCTTCCACTCCACCTTAATGTATACAGCTGCAGATTTACTGCATGTTTCAAGCTAATGAGAATGCCTGTGCCACATGCAGATCTTAATCCTGTACCAATAATCAATCAGCAATGAGATAATGTAATGTAGTGGTGCCACATCCTCACCTCTGACAGTCCTCCAGAAGATCCTGCTCAGAGCTCTGAAGTGGTAAGGTCCACGAGAGGGGTTGGTGTTCATCCTCTTACGCAGGAAAGCCAGGTACTTCACTGTAAAGTCACAACATGTACATTTGTAAATACTTCACAACACTGTACAGAGAGGAGCGCTGCTTTAGCTTAACGCTGGCGTCTCAGATGGTAGTGCATGTAAGATATTTCATGGTCAGTTAAACTCAAAAAATTTACGTTGAATCATCATCACTGACAGCAATCAGAAGGAGTCACAAGTGAACAGCAATAAGTTACTTACACTTGTTGCGATAGAAGTTTCCAGAGATGTTGATTCCTTCACATCTCACCGCCACAACTTTGTGTCCTACAAGAAGAAAAATGAACAATTAATCTAAACTCAAGCAAGGAGGTAATAGTCAGATCTGGGGCCTTAAGAAAACTTGAGTTAGGCATAAAGCAGTATTTCTTCACACAATCCAAATAAATTCATCTTACCCAGGAGGACCCGTTTTGCCACAATGGCAGCAAGCCGACCGACTAAATGGCCCCTGCCATCAAGCAGCAGAACCTGGGGTTGATTTGGAGAGGTTGACTTCAGGATGCACTTTTATTTAAAAACTAGTCAATACCTTTACAGCCCCGTGGGTGAGATACCTTAAGCTATTAGAAGACTTAAGTGCTTTTAAGGCTAAGCATGTGACCTAAGAGTCTGAATTAAATGTTTGCTCGTCAGTAAAATCAAACGGATCTATACCAGAGCAGATGTGATGCAACTTACATTTACAAAGAAATGTGCCGGAGCAAACTTAAATATCTAATGTAACAGCTGTATTTTAAGTGGAATGCCATTCATTGAAGAGGAATGAAAAACGCCAGGACACTTTCTATGAACGTGTATTTATCTTTATTGGCCAGAACAGCTCAGACAAGGACTCCGTATTGTTTAAGAACGTCTGTGTATTTTGCAATCTTGGCCTCGACGTTCTTTTCTGCCAGCTTGGTCAGCTTGTTCACTGTCTTTTTCTTTCCGTAGCGGAGCTTGGCCTTCTCTTTTCTCTTCTCCTCCAGGGTGGCTGTGATAGCCTGGTACTTCCAGCCAACCTCATGTGCAAGACGGCCAAGGAGGGCGAACTAATGGGTGTGGAAAAAAATAATCAAAGAGTCAGTATGTTTCATGTGCCTCGCAGTTAAAATACTGACCCCAGCTCACCAGATTGTTCATTTCAACAGTTAGAAATATAGTCCAAAGTTATTGCAACAGAAAAGTTGGTTTTGTTTTAAATTACTTCATAAAAAGAAAAATCTGTGAAGTTCTTTGTTCAAGCATTCGAAATGCACTTATGGGTTTTCAAGGTGAGGCACAAATGGCCCCTGACTCAACTCAGGAATCAGATCCGAAAAGTTGTCTCATCAATAGATGATCAGTTTCGGGATAAAGTGCTCATCACCGTCAAGTCAGAACTGTTTAAGTGTGAATTAACTTGAAGTCCAACATGGTAAACTCGTAATCAAATGTTTGGGGCTCACCTTGCGAGTGGGCTTCAGACGCACAATCTTAAGAGCAGCTGGAACAACCATGCGCTTCCTCTGTGGAATAAATGACAAGTCAATAAAAGAAGAACACACTTTGTCTCTACATAGAGAGGATAAGCATGTCTCAGAAATTAAGACTTTTCATAATCAAAATTCAAACAAGGTAGGTAAGGATTAGGAATAACATCACAGACAGCTGAGCTGAAACCAGGGCACATCATGTGTGTAATGTGGCCCTGTGTTTTTAATGAGAGAAACTCACCTTGTCATAGGGTGGAGGAATACCATCGAACACCTTCAGCCTCTCCAGAGCAGCCTGTCCTCTCTTTGTTTTGTGGGGCAGCATGCCTGAGGAACAAGAGTCTTGTTAGTAAAATACATTTTCCAAAAGGAACAATGACAGCTACAGCAAGTTTATATCTATCCCAGCACAAATGATCATTCTTACTCAACTCAGCAATCAGATCCGATAAAATTGTCTCATCAATAAATGATCAGTTTCGGGATAGGGGTCATCATTGTCAAGTAGAAACAACTTGTGCTGGGTAAACTTAACACCATTATGATGCTTTATGCTAAAAGTATTGGAATAATTAGAAATCAAAATCTTTGTAAGGTTGATGATTCTTAGTTTAACACCAAACCACAGCCACCAGCAGAGTTACGGTATGTGCACGGCTAATTTGTTTGTAATGGTCAATTGTTTGTTTGCTCCAAACACGATACTAAAACAGGGTTTTATGGTTTACCATTACGCATGAAGGAGGTCGCTGTGTCCAAAGATGAAAGTCTGCACCCTTGGCAAGCGGAGCGAGGCACATGCGTAATTTGGGAAGGTGTTAATTGAATGATTTATGAATGAATTGGGAGGTTCGCTACTATAAGGGATCGTGCAATATTGTGATAAGTGTTTAATGTGATGCGCTGTGTGTTTGAATCAGGCCTGTTGTGATGTGGATGTTATTGTTTGTGTTTGTTTAAAGTAAAATGTTGCACTGAAATGTTTGCTTAGGAATGAATCTTATACATTTATATATCTGTAATGAATTGAACACACTGTTTCCTGAATGTTAAATTTGGCTTCATTTTGCCGTTTTTCTAGTTTCACGGTGCTCGAAAAGAAAGAAAGAAATCGCATCAGTCGAACTCCACGCTTCCTCATATGTTGTCTTGGTCAAGGGCTGCTACGCCAACCATAGATAAACTTTCTTCTGTATGAAGAAATTATATTTAAATAAAATGTACTTTAATAACAGATTGTCATTTTCTTTATTATGTTAATCCTGTACCAATAATCAATCAGCAGTGAGATAAATTAATGTAGTGGTGCCACATCCTCACCTCTGACAGTCCTCCAGAAGATCCTGCTCGGAGCTCTGAAGTGGTAAGGTCCACGAGAGGGGTTGGTGTTCATCCTCTTACGCAGGAAAGCCAGGTACTTCACTGTAAAGTCACAACATGTACATTTGTAAATACTTCACAACACTGTACAGAGAGGAGCGCTGCTTTAGCTTAACGCTGGCGTCTCAGATGGTAGTGCATGTAAGATATTTCATGGTCAGTTAAACTCAAAAAAATTTACGTTGAATCATCATCACTGACAGCAATCAGAAGGAGTCACAGGTGGACCGCAGTAACATACTTACGCTTGTTGCGGTAAAAGTTTCCGGAGATGTTGATTCCTTCACATCTCACCACCACAACTTTGTGTCCTACAACAAGAAAAACAAACAATTAATCTTTGAGTGTATACACACACAAAAAAGAAAAACAGGCATGCAAGCTGTCTTTGGCAAACTGTCTCAGATGGTAGTGCATGTGAGTTTTCTCATGGTCGTTAAACTCAAGCAAGGGAGGTAATGAGATATCATCATAGACAGATAACTTATGAGTTACTGTAGTTCATGTGGCCATTACACATACAGCTATACTTTTCACTAATCTTCATGCACAAATAGATTCATGACTTACCCAGGAGGACTTGTTTAGCCACAATGGCAGCAAGCCGACCAAGCAAGTGGCCCCTGCCATCAAGCAGCAGAACCTGCAGATATGAATGAGAAAAGGGGGATTAATACAGATTTATTGTTTTTTTTTTTATCAATTTATAAATTAATGTTAGTATGCTAATCAGAAATCACATGCAGAGTTAATCAGAAACGCATAATATTTAAATTAAAGACACCTCAGTGATCCTTGTAATAAACGGCACATGGACGCTACACTTGCTGATGACGTTAGCTTAGCATCACCGTCAAAAACTTTTTAAAGGCTTAAATTATAGTTTCAGCTCGAGTGAAGCCCGTGAGGTTGGATAATAAAAGACTCAAATAGGAAAAGAAATGTTAATGTAAGATGAGTTAATAACCAACGCGTTGACATAATGAAGAGAAACACTCGAGGTATTTAAGCTAGCAGCGTTGGTGGTTCAGGGAGCTGCCATGATGAAGGCATGCTACCGCTACCCCGTCTCAAAAACGCTTAAAATTGAAGCCTTTAAAGAAACAGCAAACACAACACGCATCACATTTAGATGCCCCGTCCTTATTTCCTTTCGATTAATAACTTAAAACATCATATATCCTCCACTAACACGACGATAAATGGATAATGATTCCGCAGCAGTTGCCCACCTTATTGAACCGGTCCGCCATGATGCGCGAAAAGAAAGACACACGGGGCTGCTCGGAGTAAAAGGCAGGGGCAGGCGGAAGTGACGACTGGTTACTTTTTTCTTGCTCGTGCGGGCCTTGCGAAACAGCGCTCTGTCGCCGCCGTTGTGTAGAGGAGGGGAAGTCAGTTGTTTATTTATTATTATTATTATTATTATTATTATTATTATTATTATTATTATTATTATTATTATTATTATTATTATTATTAACAATTATGTTTACTTGTTGCTTTTCGTCCTACCAAATGTATGTTGTCAGATTCCAACCCGGAAATGTATTGAAAGCAGCCGCAGTCTTTTTAATTTAATTAACTCTACGATTCACTTAGCAGACTATTTTATTTATTTATTTTATATTTTATATTTAGGTACAGCAGAGAGTAAGTACAACACAAGCAAGGATCTAGAAAAAAAAGGGAACAATAATATATAGACAATACGGTACAATACTTAATATTATTATTAAGTATTGAACCGTATTGTCTATTTAAGCTTCTTTCCGAGCACCACAAGACTCTTGAACTCCTAAACCCTAAGATCCTGCCCCCCCCCCCCACACACACACACACACACACACACACACACACACAATATTTTTTGCACTCACAAGCATACTACTGCACACTGTATGCCACTGCACTACACTTTACTTTATTGTTATATATATATATATATATATTCTGTACATACATATTATATATATATATACTGTACATATATTATAGTTTTATTTAAACTTTTGGTTCTTAATTGCACTGTATGTTGTTACTCTTTTTACTCTTATCTTCTATACTATTTATTTTTGCATTGTTAAGGAGAGCTTGGAACACAAAAATGTCATTGCCAGCTGTGACTGCTTTGCCTGCTATGTTGTGCATTTGACTAATAAAGATAACTTGAACTTGAACTTCATTAAAGATAATGTACAAGGGATATTTATTTGTGTGTGATAAATTAGGAACTCCAGACTTTTATACTAAGAGACTATTATGGCAGGGGAAAACACAAAGTGTGTGACTCTCGGACGAAAGCATTTTTCATCTTTCAGCTGTCTTAAAGAGAAGCCTGTAGTTTCACACTTGTTTATCTTCACAAATAATATATTAGCAAACCTCATTTAAAATGTGCACTGCTGTACAGCTGTAGGTCTACTCCAATTTGTACAGGTCTAATTTAACTATGTTTCAATTTGTACATAGGTTTCTATTCTTATAGAATAGAATAGAATTACTTTATTGATCCCAAAATCGGAAATTGTGGCGTTACAGCAGCAGGTTATCCAAACACACAATATGAGTAAAAAACACAATGTTAGCAAATTTAAACACAATATAATATTAAATGCAAAGTAAATAAGCACTAAAAATATCAAAACTAAGAATGTGAATATATACAACCAAAATTTAACTAAGCATTACTAGTTTTAAATAGGAAGATTAAATATGGAAGATTAAATGTAAATGTGCAAAAACAGACATTCTTTTATTCCTGAAGGACAAATGTAAATGTTGTGGTACAGGTCTAATTATTACTTGTACAGGTTTAATTCTGATCTATGAAGGGGTTTCTTTCAATCATTGTTTGGGTTAATATTTACATGGGGGTTTGGTCATGTGTGTATTGCTGCAAACTGGATTCTTTGATTATCTCTGAAGATCAATTGAGTATCTATTCATCTATCTAGCTATTCCCATCATGTCATTTGGTATATGTGGTTGCTTTGTTGACTTTATTAATGATTGTTTTAAAGCACCAGAGGGGAAATGTCTCTTAAACAGTCCTGGGATTGTGTCATAAATTACATTTTGCATGTTTGTCATCATTCCTAATTTGGGTGGTGATTGTATTCATGACACTTTTATTACCGAGTTCCTTCTGCAGTGACATTTCTAATAAAGAATAAGAACGTCAAGTAATGATTTCCTACTTTTGACGTTAACACATGTATTCTGAGAAATGGATTGTTAACGAGTTGTCACAAAACAACAGCACTAAAAGCTACCACTTCAATTTACAGTACAGATTTATTCAAACATCACACAGGAAGAAAAGTTGCTCTCATTTGTTGCATTAAATATATAGGGTTTTTTTTTCCACTTTGGCCATTTGGCTGCAATGTACAGTTTACCCACAAAAAGGGGAAAGGGTTGAAAGAGTTGTACAATGTGTCACAGCATGTAATGGAAACAATCAATATTTTATGAATAGTTTTAATAACCGTCAAGCATTTACAGAACAATCACCTGCACATTCATGACCGTCTCGGTGACAAAGTGCATGCAGCAATCAAAAATAATTACTATAGGTGTCTGGATGGGACAGTGGAAACACCGTAACTTTTTATTAGGAAGATTCCACTCAGTCATCGTGCTTCAGTTTCCTGATCTTTCCCTTATGGCGGTCAATCTCCCGCTGCATACGTTCAATCTCCTTTTTGTGGTGGTCGATTTCTTCCTGGTGGTGCTGCTTCAATGCAGCCAGCTGCTCCTGCTCCTTGCGCCTGCGGTGTACGTAAGGTAACATCAGAGAGGACAAAAACAAAAACAGTGAGAGACGATCATCATAATGTGAATGTCAGTTTACATTTGGTTACTTAAAAGAGATCAATCATACTTGAAGTACATCTCCTCCTCAGCGGCCTGCTTCTTCCCCATGGCTCCGCCTGCCTCTCTGATGGACCCTCCACCGCCGCCACCTTTCCCTGCACCTTTACCGAACTCTCCAAGCTGCGAAAGTGTGGGGGACGCAGCAACAAGAGAAATGTTTAGTACACAATCAGCGAGGCCTAATGAGCTGCCTTTTGTTTGGCCTGCCAGGACTCTGTTTGTAGACCTTAAAAGAACCTAAAAAAAAAAAAATTACTTCCTCAAAGTGAGTTTCTTTTTTTATCAAGACCCGCCTCTTTTGAATCAAGGTAGAATCAACTTAATCTGTTACACACTAATCCAAAAGTCAAAAGTTGGTTTATTTCTGCCTTTACAGAAAAGTCAAAGGTGCGTCTTTGTTTACAAGGTGTTGACACAGAGGTTTTTGGAACAGACCAGAACATGTTTTGTGACAGCCACGCAACCAAAACCTCAGAGGTCAAACCTATTCATAGAGCCTGAATTAATATCTAACCTTTACAGGTATCAAGTACTATTTTTATTCTGATATTAAAATAAATCCTTGCAAAATCATCCCTGACACATCCCTGGTGCTTTTCTGTCGCTTTAACCAATGCTCTGAAAGCCCCCCCAAAATTGAAGAGTTGAAGCTCCACTGGTGATAAAGCAGGTTAACTATATTTTGCATATTCATTGATTATGATTCACACACACACACACACACACACACACACACACAGTGTCATGGTTTGCAGAATGCAGCGTTTCACTCAGCTGATGTGTCTCCAGCTCGTGTTTTTTTTTTTTTTTTTACCTGGTCGGAATTCATTCTCAGCTGAGAAGTGACAAAAGTCCGGATGTTAGGCCTCAAAAACCTCGCCATGTTCTCCTCTCATACGAGAAAACAACGCGACTGTCAGTGAGAGGGGAACGTGCCCTTGTCCTCATAAATACGCCACAGGACGGCGCCATTATTAACGAGACGGGGGGGGAGGGGTTGAGGACACGACGAGCAACACGTTGGTCTAATGAGAGATTGAGGCGGGAAACATTATTCATATGTTGATATATTAAAACATTAAGTCACCATTTATGTTCATATAAACGAGACAAGTCGTAAGATGATGCCCCTTTTTCATAATGGTATGTTCCTGAAAACTGACAGAGGGTGACGTCACACGTTCTTTACGTTACAGCTGACCAATAACACGGTGAGACGTTTTTATTCTTCCATTTATGCTTTCCTGTATGAGCTTTATATGCTCTTATATTGTTGTAATCCATCTTCAATGTGAATTATATGTGATTCTGTCTATTTTTAGGAACTATTTGTACATTTATTTTATTTGAATAAAGTTATTTTGAAAAAAATAAATAAAGAAACCCGGTGATAAGGGAAGTAGTGTGATTTGTTAATACAATCAAGTTTCATTATGACATGATTCAGCGAGTTTGTTTCCCTAAATTAACTACTACTACATCTAAAAACTATTGTATCTTTTTATAAAAATACAAACATTTATTTTGTTATTCGTTTAAAAAAACAAAACAATGCTACTAATTACTTTTTGTTTCCATAAAAATCTAACTGAAGTGTCTTTGATTATTCATTTTATTTAAAATGATCCGATTCTGATTCTTTTCCTCAAGTTTGTTTAATTTTTGTCTCACTATGCACTCAAAGTTCATATTTAAAAATGTGTTTTAGGGAAATCCTTACACACATAAGCTGTCAACAAATAAAATGCCATAATGAGTTCTTGTTGTCCTTAAACACTCATCATTTATATCTGAAATGTGTTCAAGCATATGCTAAACTGATGATAAAGCCATGCTTCATGACCCTTACAACATAACACCTTTACTGTTCTTTTATTTTCAACTCTGTTTAAGTTTAAGTAAAACATCCATTAACCATTAGAAATGCTTTGAAGGATTTTTATTCATTGCTGCAAAGACGGTACACAGTTCCCTCATTGAACAAACCAAGCACTGACTTAAGTGGTGAAAGGAACCTCGCAGACTTCATTCCCCAATTTTCCTATGAATATTTCGCTTGTCAGACAACTCTGAGCTCACTCAGCCCAAAACCAAGAGAAGAAACTAAGAAACATTGTTCAACTTAAAATTTCAAACCACGTTCAACATTTTTCACAAGTCACATCATATGCCATTTTTCTTTTTCATAAATGTTACATATGTACAGGTATGGTTGGAAACTGCCTAAGAAAAAAAGTAAAACAAGCCCTCCCCCCCAACTGCAAGTAAAAAATGAAAATCACAAGTCTAGCCTAAATTAAAATAAAATTATCCGCACTGCTCTGGTCATCACGCGTCCATTATCTGACCTAAAACAGAAATGGTAAAAGGCCCTGAATTTTGCCCCAGTGACAAAGTATTTTTTTTTCTTTTGCAAAACTGTGAATTTGACATAACAGATGTTTTTACTATTGAGCTCACCTGAAAATATTTCCATAGCAACAGATTCACCTGAGAGGAGAATCACAGTCTGGCCTGTGTATCTGCAAAAAGCCTTGTCATGAGCATGCAAGTTGTCCATCTCCCACCCATGATGTCATTTTGTTGTTGCTGGTTTTTTTTTTTCAATCTGCAGTAAGTAAAAACTTGTTTTACTGTTGGATTAACTAAGTTAAGTTTTAAAAAAATACTCTTGTCCCTTTAACATTTGTGTCATGTAAACACCACAACAGAAAGTACGTAAATCTGCTAGAATTATTTCAGATTTGAAATGGGAAATTCCATCTTTTCATAGAATAAATTTATAATTAAATTGCCCAGAAATAAAAAAGAATTTAAAAAAACAAACCTCAACTCAATCTGCATAAATGTGACCTGTGCTCTGACAATAGCTCTTGCTAAACACACATTGCCCAGGAGCTTTCAGTGAGTGCATGTAAGGCATCTCTCGAGTCTTTAATCGAAGGGGTTTTTTTTTTTTTAGGCTGGCTTGTGCTGATATGTTTTGGTTTTGTTTAAAATAAAGTTTCAAAAGGGAACAGAGAGGAAAGTATGAAAATATGGCAAGCAGAGTAATTAATCAAAGAAGATTAAAAAAATGAAGGGGGTGGTAGGTAAGACAAAAAAAAAGAAAACTAGGGTGCATCAGAGGGCCAGTAGCGGTCTGCGGAGGCCCTTTGGAGGAGGCAGCGCTCGCTCCTCCCCCTTCCAGCCCCGTCAGTCCTGCTTGATGCTGCCCAGCGCTCTGAGGCGCTCCAGGAGGGGAGGGTGGGAATAGTGCCACATGGAGAACAACCAGTCGGCCACAGGGAAGCCCAGGTTGTCCTTGTTGAGCTTGATGAGTGCGGAGTATAGTTCAGAGGCTTTGCCCATGGCGCGAGCAAAGGCATCGGCCTGGAACTCAAACCTGCGACTCAGGACGGTCAGACAGAAGGACAGGAGCTGTGTGCGAAAGAAAACAAGAAGCTTAAGTGTGTTAGGCGTATACAATGCATGAAACCTATTAAAAGCTTAAAAAAGGACATAAAACTAACATAAAAATAGTCAAATACTCACCTCATTGTAGGGGGAGAAGATGAACTGGAAGATAATCATCAAGCCTATTAATGTGGGTTGGCTGTCATTGAAGCCGAAAGCAACAAACAGTTCCTTACGTCCAATCAGGACAGCGAACAGGGAGAAGCACAGGAAGGAGTTCATCTGCAGAAAGAAACAGAGCGAGCAGATGTTACAGACATATCACTGAATGAAGAATCAGGCTCACAGACACTGACAAAGGAACCAGCTGAGACAAGATCCCTCACCTGACTGATGACGATGTTCTTCACGGTGTGGCCCAGCTTCCAGTGGCCCAGCTCATGACCCAGGACTGCAAGGATCTCTGGGTTATTGCATCCTTGCTTCTTGTTCTGTGAAAGTATTTGGAAGAGAAATTCAGGTTTACATTACAGAAACAGGGAAAATAATTAAAATAAGATTACAAGGATCACTACAGCCACTTTGAACTGCAACATTAAAGACAAATCAACAGACAAAGAAGCTTTTGATAAAAGAATACTTAATGTAAATTAAAAAAAAAAGGCCATTCAACCTCCTGGACTAGTTTGATGTACACTGATTATTGTGTTATTTCTATTGATGTGTTTACTTAATTCGACTGCATGGTCATGCGCTTCTTCTTCAAATGAAGGCATGGTTTGTTCAAAATTCAAAATGCAAATGTGTGAAATTTTGGAGGAAATGTGATAAACATAATTTGTCACATCATTATTTAGTTATTCTTGGATAAAGAAGTTAAAAAGGAGTATGCACATTGGTTTAGTTTAGTGCTGGGTTGCGAAATAGCCAAGAACTATCCAATAACCCTTTGACTCCTGAGTCAAAAGTAGAGACCGACTGATAAATCCAACAGCCAATAATATTGGCCGATATTAGCATATCCAGTGAATATCGGTATCAGCGAATTTTATCTCAGATATGCGCCGATATAGCAGGATTTATTCAGCAGTCAAATAGCATTACATTTGATTTTTATTGTATTAAACCAACAGTTCTCTGTCACCAGCAGAGGGCGCTAAACAAGCATTATGACTCTCCAGAGTGTCAAGTCAAGCGGTGATGCACGTACAGTAAGTGTTTGATAACTGCTTTTGAAGTATAAACGTTATAAATGTGTATATCTTTATTTCTCCATCTCTACAGATCAAAGATAGAGCTTAGAAAGTAATCAGCCGATATATCAGTATCGTCTCCAAAAATCCCATATCAATCGGGCCCTAGTCAAAAGTTCTTATTTAAACCTCTGAACAATCCAGTTCAAACTCCTCTGAATAAAGTTTAAAGCTATGTGACCTTGGGCTTGGCTTTTGATTCGTTCGGTGCATCCTCGGCCTCTGGCTGCTCCGTCTGAGGCTCTCCGGTCTTGTTCAGAGGCGAGTAGTCTTCCAGCAGAGTGTCAAACAGCACAATGCGTTTGTTTTTAAAGAACCCGTAAAAGTACGCATTGCTGTGTGACGAACGCTTGGAACCTGGAAAACAGAGAACATTTGAGACGACTTCAACAACCTGTAGAAATGTGCAACAGTCTCATCACGCTGTAACGATCACATGATGTCATAAAGGAAATGTAAATACGCTTTACCTTCAACTACATACACCTTAGTGAGGGGGAAGCTTATACTCTTGGCCATGGACTCGATATCTGTCTTCAGCTCTCCTTCTGGCAGAGGAGTGAACTTATCAAAGAGGGGAGCGATGTAGTCCGCATAGATAGTCACAAGTACCTGAAGACACAGGAGAGAGAAGAGCACTTTGTATTACTTTAAAAATCTCTTTCAAATTGCTAAACAAACGACATGTTTTCTTGTAATTTTCTACTTTTTCTTTTCTTCAGATGGTGAGTCGAGCGTTTGCACTAACCAGAGACACAGCCAGGGTGAAGAGCCAGGCGTAGATGAAGAAGTAGTCCCCACCGATCTTGATGATGTACAGGAGCAGTGAGGTGACGGGCAGCAGGATACACTGGGTCACAACGAACTTCTTCACAGCATCCTTCAGAAAGAAGCCTATTGTCTGAGAGGAAGAGAGGAAGTGTCGGGTTGAAGAAGAGAACTACAACGGCCACATTTCAGTGTCCAAAGCCGTTCAGTTAGAGTACCTGCTGATTAAAGCCGTGCTTCTCTTCAATGACGAATGTGTTGTACAAACTCCAGGGGAGTCCGGTGAAGGCGCTGAACAGGGTGGCAAGCGTCAGAAACACAAGTGACTGCGTGATCTCGTACTCGGAGCCCAATCCGAAGCGAGTCATCACAGAACCAGCGACGCCCCACAGAAACGGGATTCCACCCAGGAGCAGGATCAACTGAAAGGTTTTTTTAAGCATCACATGATCCACTTTAATATCAGTATAACTATGTGGCATTATCATAAATGATGAAATGTTTAACTTCACATTCAGGAGAGCATAAACAACCCTGGAGTATTTGACAATCAGTCTTACCGTCCCTTCAGTCTCGGAGTAGAGTCCAGACCAAAAGCTGAAGTTGCTTTTATCCAGCTGATAAAGACGCGACTTCTCAAATGTTTCAGAATCCATAATCTTGCCGAGCTCCTGTGGCACGTTCGTTGTCAATCTGTATATGCTCCTCTGAAAAAAAAGGGAAAGGGAAAAATAAGCTATCTCTGATTTCATTTAGACTAGCATGCAGGTAGAAGATCTGCTGAACTCAAACATTATCAAACAAAGAACACGATGAAAAGGAAATGAAAAAAATCATACATCCACGGCATCTCAAAACTGGAATTTGCTAAACTGAGGAGGCAAACAACTAAACACATACTCAATACATTTAAGCATGTGAGACATTTGTAAAGAAAGGCAGAGCAATAAACCAATGACAATTTCTAAGAACCTAAAAATGTATGTCCACAGTATATTCATGTGTGCAGGTTTACTGAGTATCTGCTATATATCGTTTCACCATTGCACTGTTTTAGATAAACATAATTTACTAAATTTTCATACTTTTGTTCATTTTAAAAATGCTCCTCCTCCTTTGAAGGACTTTATAAAGCTGAAGTTTGCCAGTGGGATCGGCACCAGGGGCCACAGCCCGGGGAGACTGTGAGGTCCCATACAGATGCACTACATTCAGACACACTGTTCTGTCAGTCAAAGGAACTAAATATTGGAATATTCTCCCACTCACAATAAGAGACTCACAAACATATGCAACCTTCAAAACACACTTCAAACAGTGGATAAAAGAAAACCAAGTCTGACCACCTTTAACCTTTAACTTCTATTATTGTCTTGTGTCACTTGTGCCTTTGTATTTTATTTGTAATTTGTCTTTCTCTGTTACCTGCCTAGGGACAACAGATGGAAACTAGCACTTCTGCTATAATCTGACATTTTTACATGCACTGTCCCCATGTCATGATGTCATCATGATAATATCTGTCTCTCCATACTGTAATCTGTTCTGCACATGTTAAATTTACAAATGATCCCTGCACTCATGTTCACTTCATTTGTCTGTCTACTCACCGTTATATTGTATAGTTTCTGCTGATAATATGTCTACACTCATGCACTTTAACTTATGTCAATACTGTCCATTTACAACTCTGTTTTTGCACATTTACATTTAATCTTCCATATTTAAGACGAGTAATGCTAAATTAAATCCTGGTTGTATATATTCACATTCTTAGTTTTGATATTTTTAGTACTTATTTACTTTGTATTTAATATTATATTGTGTTTAGATTTGCTAACATTGTGTTTTTTTACTCATATTGTGTGTTGGACAACCTGCTGCTGTAACGCCACAATTTCCCAGTTTGGGATCAATAAAGTAATTATATTCTATTCTAACAAATAAATAAATAAATGAATGATAAATAAAGATATAAATAAATATATAAATAAATACATAGATAAATAAATAAATACATGGATAAATAAATATATAAATAAATACATAGATAAAAAATAGATAAATAAAAAAATAAATACATCGATAAATAAATAAATAAATACATAGATAAAAATATCGATAAATAAATCGATAAATAAATAAATACATAGATAAATAAATAAATAAATACATAGATAAGTAAATACATGGATAAATAAATATATAAATAAATACAGATTAAAAATAGATTAAAAAAAATAAACATAAATAAATATAAAGGCTGCAAGGTGTGAAAAAGATTTTGTGCTCTATAACTTCGATTTATGCAAGATTAACAAAACATGCTTCTGTGGTGGATAAGTTTAACGGTGTCCCTCCTCTGGATAATTCAGCTGCTTACAGTTTGATACAGAGAAATGTTTGACTTACCTGTCTGTAAGAAAGGTAAGCCTCCCAGAGATACACTGTCCACGAAAACCCCAACACAGCATAAAATATCTGCTTCTCCACCGGGAGGTCAAATATAGATTCAACCATCTTTGCTCTGTTGTTGTTTTTTTTTTGTTGTTGTTGTTGTTGTTGGTCTATGATCCTGAAGCAGAGATGACTAGCAGGCTAAGTCAACGCCGTGAAGCCTGCAGTCTGAGGCTAGCAGCTACTTAGCTTCCGCTCTGTACACAAACGAACAGAGAGCTCTTTAAAGTTGAACCTAAAGGGCAAAGCGTCCCCTCGTTACATCGACAGACACCGACTCGAAATGTTAACTCTGAAATTTGTGACATCCAGTTTCCATTCCTAAGTCGAGGCTTTAACCAATAATATCATTCCATTCATGCGAGATGCGAGCCCGACGCTGAAGTGTTGCAGCGCAATCGGTCCCCGTCGAAACAACACATTTAAACATTAGATCCGAGGGGGGACAATCTTTTTCAGTTGTTATTAATTTATTCAAACCGATTCATATAAGTATTTTTTTTTAAGGGGGTAACCACGGTTTAATATCTTCAAGAGACCATGTGGAGTCACGGCGTGATTTATTTTGGGGGGTTTGAATTTATTAAGCGTTACTTAAAGAGTAACTAAACCCTAAAACCACTTTTTTCCAACTATAAACCTCTGTACTTGAGTATTAAGTAGTGTTATGGATCAATTCAAGTCCAAATCTCGACACTTGAGTGCAAAGTATTGAAATATTGTGTTAGAAATGTGCATAGTGTCAGCCCTTCCGTTTGAAAAAACTCTAACGCTGTGTGGAGCGCACGCCTACGTAGGAGGAAATGCCTACGTCACCAAACCTATAAAAGCCTCCTCACCCGACTCGGCGAACTGTGGGGGGTCAAGTGTAGTGGATTGAGGGGGTCGTAATGGAGGGGAAGGGGTTTCAGACCACCAAAAGCCACAATGAAAGAAGGAAACCTGCTAAAAAATAATAATAATAATAATTAGGCGACACTTAAAACACAATGTGTTCAATGTCGGGTGAGATCCTGATTTTGACTTTGCCCTTATTGACATTGTGATTTATTTCTGTAAATGTTCTCTGAATTAGTTGTTTTATTCCTTTTATTAGTGAAGCTAACTGATGGTATTGAAAGTAGCTATATAATATTTTTCTTTTTTAAAAACAAGTTCTGAAATAAGTAAAGTACTGAGCCATGCGTTTCTATCTCTTGAAATTCGGCCTTTGTCACCGCACGGGCTCCATATTGGAAAGGAAAATTATTCAATTTAAGGTCAAGACAAGTGTGACTGAATCTGATTAAATCATATCTCTTGTACATTTAGAATTTTACAGTCAACAAAAAATGACAAACAACGAAAAGAAATCACTTTAATCCTGATTTTCTATGTGAGTTTATAGAGTAAGCCCCTTCAGTTGTATTTATTTTATGTGTATAGAAAAAAAAGCAAACAATAAAATGAATGGCAACGATATATGATCAACTATTTCTGTTGTTTCAGAACCATGGACAGTGCTGTTAATTGCTTAGCCTAGTTAAAAATGTATGAAGGCTGTCCATAGTACACAGAGAGGAGGTGAGAGATAATGAGATGCAAACAGCTGTCTGGAGCACCCCGAACACCTCCCCCATTCACAGAGAAGGTGCATGAATTCTATTGAATATTAAATCTTTTTTTTAAGAATAAAAGTTAACCTTAAGCCATTTTTAATAGTTCAATAAGTCTGTGTTCACACTGCAGTCAAATGTGACCTGAATCCATGTTTTCTTTTTTTTTGCTCCAATGTGAAACAGCTCAAATCACAAAGAATCTGACCTTTTCAAATCAGACTTGGGCCACTTTCATAATGTGGATTACCAAAGGAGTCTGATGCATGTCAGGTTTAAAAAATAATGTTCACATCCAAACAAAAAAATCTGAATTGAGCATTAATGCTTGCAGTGTGTGAACGCAGCATGAGTCACTTCATCCTGGCACTGCCATTACCAATTTGCTCTGGTATAATAAATCAGTGGGCCTGTAGGCTACAGCTGGTCACATCTAATCCCTAAAATGTGTTTGATTTAGCTCTAAAGTTACTTTGTATCCACTTTTTTTAACAGGCTGCTTATATAAAGGCTTCTTTCAGATTATACAGCTCTGGTGTTGCTGCTGTAGATGAAACAGGCCTGCAGAACTTAAACATCCTATTTAGCTCTACATCTTCACCAATTCTTCCTCTGAATACATAAAGGAGACAGTAAATTGGAGTACTTCTTATCAGGGCTGATAAATGAATACAAGGGCATTGTTCAGATAACTTTTGTTTGTGCTTTGTTCAACATTATAAATACACCAGCCATCTATTCAGGGGGTGGAGAAGCTGTGCATTTAGGCCAGAGTTTCAACCTCACCTGAATAATGTTCTCAAAGCACAGCTGCACAAGTGATTTATCCAGGTGCTCCAAAACACACAGGGCCTCAGCTTCTATTTTTCCCATGTACTCCTTTTCTTCTTTCTGCATCAACCCGCTTAAACTTTCAACCCTCTGATTTGGAGTACTAGCTCCTGCAGTGTAGCCGTGATAATCTGATATTCTGTGGAAATCATTCTCCATTTCTAGATCTGTCCAGATGATCAAATACATTGATGACACTTCGCTGACTGCAGACTAAGATATCATATTCTTAGTTTAGCATGAGTTATGCTTCCATTTGGGCAAGTTTTTATGATGTGCAACAGTTTTTTGTAATGTACACCATATAAAGTATCGTGTTATACTTCTAATACATTCCAGATATATAACCAGCAACCTACGCAGAGGCGATTCTAGAGTCCGCTGGGGCCCCAAGGCAAAAATCAGTTTGGGGGCCTTCCAACCAGCATTCAGCAGGGAAATGAGAGAATGCTGTCAGATGGGGGCCCCTTAGGGAGGTTTCTTACAGTCACTGCAAAATTTGCACATTATGGGTCGCTGCTTTAGTTTAAATTTGATCAACCCTCTGGAGGTCCCCCTACTGGTTTGGGGCCCCAAGCAGCGCCTCTGAACCTACACAAAGTACATGATCGTGGCATTTTAACACGTCCTCTTAATTGCATTTATTCTCAAACCAAAGTACATTTCATCCAGTGTCCCTGAAGAGTAATCCTTCCTTATTGATATTTCAAGATTCTTATAGAAAAGTCTACTTTTAGAGGTGAAAGACTGAAATCTTAAGCAATAAATAAATTCTTATATTACATATCAGTAACTATTAATCAAAAGATGTCACTTGAAAAGGCCTAATGTAAACAAAAACAAATTATTGTTTATTAATTTCAGCCAATAAGGTGCTTCTTCAAACAAAGATGCTACCAAAACAAAAAGGTGTCACAGACGCAATTTGGAAAGTAAGAGCTTTATATATTGTTTCCACATTTATTGTATTAGAAAGTGTTACATACATGTCCGCCAACACCTGTCCACTGCATCCCAACACTGATTATATAAACTGAGGTGGAAAATAATAAGCATGTTCCTTAAGAATTTGGTACTAAGGAATTGAATTTCAGTCATATTTTCACACAACTGGAAAAGGCCTTGCCATACGCTACTGACCATTTCTAACAATCTGAAAATCTGTACATTAATCTTGGAGACCTACATTATTTACACGTGTGATCAAAAGTTTAACAGAACAGATTTGATCTGAATGCTTTCATAACAGAAATCTAAAAAACAGTTTACTCTGATTTTATGTGCACTGTTGAAGTTAATTCTTTTTTTTTTTAATCTTGATGCTAATGTTTGAAATTCATCAGTTTGGCAACTTAAAAAAACAAATAGCAAAACATCGTTATACTATTATTTTGGAAGAAAAGGAAAATACTGATACACAGTTTAAGAAAATACAAAGTAATTTGCTGTAGCTAAGTTAAAAAGGTGCTCACATAAACTAACTTCCAAGAAGGAGCTTGCTGTTGTTAGTCTCTGTTGGGAAGAGGTCCGGCAGAGTGGTGGTGCACACAGGTCTTTCCAGGACCACCACAGGTCTGAGGTACTGAAGCTGCTTAATGGCCAGGTCCCCACACCCAGCCAGAGCTTTGTCCAAGATGGACTTCAAGTTTTGGATCGATGTGAAGTCTCCAGTCAGCGTGTGGGGCTTCAGCAGTGGGGAATGAGCGCGTTTGCTGCCGTTGTGAGATATTCCCAGCTGTTTGTTCTCCTTCACAGAACAACCGCGTTTAAAAGCGTCCCGCCGTTTCGCCACCACCTCGTTGTTTTCTTTCGGGGTCGTCTCTTGTATGAACCTCAGGAAAGAGGACTCGAAGCCCATGGGTTTGTACGCTGTGATGTCAAAAGGGCGAGGAGAGGGGCCGCGAGGCAGAGGGTCTTTCAAGTTTAAAGGCTGTTCAGACAGTTCGTTTTTCCTTTTAAGTGGTTGGCGGACGGGGAGAGCGGGTGAAAGCGCCGCCCCGTTCAACCCTTTACCGGCGTCCTTGGTGCTCGATAGGTATTGGAAGCCCTCCTCAGCAGTCAAGGGCAGTGAGCACGGTGCTGAGAGGTCAACAGTTAGGGGACGAAGGAGAGGTTTGATTTGATCCAAGCTCAACCACTCGTCCTGTTTCTGACCTTTTGGTGTTGCTGTAGCGGAGTCTTCAGTCGGCCCGCCGGTGCTCGGTTCACCATAAAGCACCTCGTCTGCACCCACAAGGACGCCATTTCTCCCAACAGGTGGTAGCTCCTCGTCTTCCTCCTCTGGAAATCCAAGCGCATCGTGATTATCCTCTTCCTCAGGGTCTTTCTTAATGGAGTGGAAGCTCCTGGGTTCTGGCTGCTCCCCCGAGTTTTCAGGATCAGACTGATACTCCATTTTGTGCACCCCATTAGGGGCACACGATCCTGTCACTGACGGCCTGGCTGACTTCCTCTGAATCAGCTCTTCAAGCTGCTCGGCGTTTAAAACAAGCCTCTCTTCATTCCTCATGATGTCCCCTTGGCGCATGCGGTGAACCCTCAGGTAGTGACGGTGTAGGCTTCCCATGTAGGTGACGACGGAGTCACAGTCCTGCACCATGCACGGGTAGGCCACGCGCAAACATCGGTCTTGGCACATTTGAAGTGCTTCTTCATGAGATCTGAAGGCGAAACAATTGAAAAAAACATTGTTCTTTTCTTTCTCTCTTGCTCGTGCTCTCGCCTCATTATCCTCCTCGCTTGTTTCCTTGAAGTCCGCAGACACATCGAGACCTGGACTTGAGGTCTCTGCCTGGGACTCCCCTTCCTTAGGACTCTGTTGAGTGACGATAAGCTTCTTTTGGCATCCAGTTATTGACTTTTTGTGAGTGCTCTGTAGACGTACCACCAGTGAATCATAGTACTCATAGTGACTGTAAAGTGTATGTTTTTTAAGTGCATTGTCGTGGCTGAACACGCTCGTACAGCCCTCATACTTGCACCGTATAAGCTCTGAAGGATGCGAGTGGCAATCTCGAGTGTGGCGCGCCAGGCTGCTTTTAAGGTGGTAGACGGCACTACAGTTGGCAAAGTGACATTTGAATTGGGGCTGAGGTTCATCCAAGTTTGGGAGAGACCTTTTTTTGGGGGGCTCTTTTTTGACTTCTGGACACTGAGGGGAATCAAAATCTTTCTCCAACAGAAGCTGAGAGCGATTGTAGCGATGGACCAACTGAAGATGGCGCACCAGGCCTCCCTGCGTGGAAAACGCAGCGTCACAGTTTTTTGCAACACAATGAAAAGGTTTGCTGAATTTATCCAATATATAGCAGAGGTTACTTTTGGCGACCAGTCGCCTTGTAGTTCTGACCTGCTGTTGAGTGCCATCCCCGTTTTCCCCCTTCGGCTGATCTTCTTCCTCTTTACTCTCCGCTTCATCCTCTCCTTCCTCCTCCTCCTCGGATGGAGATTGACTGTCATTGCTTCGTCCATTTTCACTCATCGTGGCTGAGTTTTTTGTCTCTTGTTTGGGTTGCATCTTTGGGATCTCTTTCTTTTTCTCTTTTAAACGAGCACTAGTCAAGGGCTGAGATGTTTGCTTTCCCTCTTTGCTTACAGCTGCGTTGCTTATTTTGTTCAAGAAAGTCTCACTCAGGTTATGTACCTGAACATAGTGGGCCTTCAAGACGTGCTTCTCTCTGTGACTCTTGGAACAAAAGTGGCAGACGTAAGGCTTAAAAGACGTCGTTTCCAAGGAGGTCAACCTCTTGGCCTCTTTGAGTGAACGACCGTGTATGGTCTGATAGTGACGCAGTAAGCTGTAACTCTGAGCAGTCTTAAAGCCACAATTGTTGACCTCACAGATATAAGGCTTAGCTGTGGCCAAAGATTCTGCGAGGCCTTCTTCGACAGCAGATGACGTTTCAGTTTTGACCTGTAACTTCTCTTCAAGCAGATTTGAAGCTCCTCTATGTAGCAGTACCACAGCAGGCTTAGCCATGATCGCCTGATGAAGAGCAATTTGTGCTGCGTCAGCGTCTGGGGTGGACTGAGGGGAATCACTTTGATCACTGTGAGAGGAAGCATTCAGATCCAGTTTACCAAGCCCGACGACTAAATCTTTCAGAGCATCATTTTTAGTTTGAGAGTTTGACGAGTTTGTTTCATTGTTTCTGTGATGAGTGGATGTTTTTCTTTCTTTGACGACCTCAGTATGTTGAGACGGGCCCGAGAGCTTATTTCTGTCCCTTTCCTCACTGTCTGGTTCCGTTTCAGTCTTAATCCCTTTGGATTTAGATCCCCGCTCTTTGTCGTGCTTGTGTTCTTTGTTCTCTAGTTTAAGGTGTTCTGGGTGGGCACATTTCAGATGTCTCTGGACATCTCTGGCTCTGGAGAAAGTCATGCCACACTTCTCAAAACCACACGTGAACTTGCTTCCGTCAAAACACACGGCTACCAAGGTCATTGTTGCTTTCTGTTCCTTGTCCTCAGATGTTTGTGAAGAGGAGGCACCACTTGCTGATGAAGAGTTTAGGACATCTCCGTTTACAATCTCTACTGTGTCATTTGACTTGTTGAGTTGGGTTGTCGCTTCAGCAGCCCTCTTTTGCTTCAGAAGTTTCCTCCTCGCTTTCCTCTGAGCCTCGAAGTCGTCCTCCGAGAAGGTGATGTTGTGCGTGGATAAATGTTTTAAGAACTCCTTTTTGGACAAATAGTATTTTTTACATTCAGGGCTAACACAAGTAAACGCAGCGTCTCTGAAGTGCTGTGCCTCGTGGTGATAGATCTGTCCCAGGTCCGAGTAAGTCACAAAGCAGCCGTTGAGCTCACACTGGTAGTTGAGGTGAAAGCCGTGAGTGTGTTTGTGCATGACGAGCTCATTGGAAGTGCTAAACTTGGCGCCACAACCCATAACCACACACGTGTAAGGCTGATCGCCGTAGTGAACTCTGCGATGTTTGCGGTGATGGAAAGCGGAGACAAAGTGGCGTCTACAAAAAACACACTTCTCCCTCTTGTCTCTCATCTGATGGAAATACTTCACGTTGTCGTCACCATTGTGGTCCGACTTTAAGTGGACGTACAAGTACTTGGAATGTTTAAAAACCCGAGTGCATCCGGTCCCTGGACACTGATACTCGTCCCGGTTCTGCAGATTGTAGTGTTGCTCGATGTATTCGAACGTGACATGCTCGTCGTCGTCGGCGCTCTTCTCCTTTACACTTTTAGCTTGTTCCACGATGTGGTGCAGCACGTCGGGATCGTGTGTGGATTTGTAGTACAGCATTACAGAGGGGTCAATGGTTATCTCACCCGGTTCAATATCATCTTCTTCTTCCATCGGTTTCTGTGCATCCTCTTTCTTTACATTGTCCTTGTTTGAGACAATTTGTTCTCCTCTCTGAATGTGTTGCTTCATGTGAGGAACAAGATCCTTTCTGCTCTTGAACTTTTCCAAGCACACAGGGCAGGGGTGGAAGCCGTCTGCTGCATGTCTTTTGGAGTGGTGAACAATTTGGGTGTCAGTGACCGACCGTTTACAAATCTGACAGCGGAACTTGAGTTTCTTCGTCTCTGATTCTCCTCCTTTTCTTTCTGGTGAATTATAAGACTGCTTTCTCTCCTCATGATCATCCAGACTTCCATTAATCTTTTGTTGATATGATTCCACCTTCACAGCGACTCCCTGTGGCTCCTGTTGTTTAACTTGTTCAGGTTTGTCCACGGCCGCCGCCTCCTCCTCCTCCTCCCCGTCTGATTCTGGCGTCAACCCCAGAAGGGAAACGCAGTGATACTTCAGAGTTTTCCAGTCCCAGAACTCAGGGTCAAAAGGCCAGTAGGCTTTAAGTGCTAGCAGCAACTCGCAGCGCAGCGAGTTTGGAATAACTTCACTTTCCTCATCGTGCTTTTGGTCTGGGCGTTTATAAAGCTCCTCGAGGCATCCAAAGGCCTCCTGGCTGGGGCCGAGCAAGAACTCTGTGAGCCGGCAGGCACGCAACACTTCAAGGTCGTCCGAGAGAAGGCTGCACACCATCTTACAGATGGAGATTCTGGTTTCCGAGTCATCCTGCTTTGGAAGTTGAAGGGCTTTGACACACAGCTCTACTGAGGCAGGTACCCAGTGTCCTCCGCCTGCAAAGAGAATGATATACGATTAGCATTAAACCTTGACTAATTCTTCAAATAAGAGTCTCAATACACTCAGAAACCATAAGGAAGTGTTTAATTGTGATAAAACATGCAAATTAATTGAAGAAATTAAAACCATGTGATTTAAAAATTCCCATCCTGGACTTCTGAACAACAACAACAAAACACAGACTATGACAAGATTTGATTTTGATCTTCAATGACATGTTGAACTTTTAGAATACTTAGGATCTTGGTCAAGACACAAAAACAAATGGTTCATTTCTGACTTACACTTGTCCTTGTTCATAACAAACAGGATTGAAGTGTACAGGTTTTAACAACTAGATTATTTAAGAGCTGGTTAGGCACGCTGTTGAGTCCTGCAGATTTTCTGAAAAATTGTTTCGTCATTCAAGAACATTTAGATTTCTTGCACTTTGGAAAGTTTGGTCAGATGCCATTCAGTTTAGAAGTTCAATGGACAGATTTCCAACACAGCTGCTGTAAGAAGCTGTTTTGAGGAGAGACTTTTTTTTTAATATCACTTGATCAGTATTTCACATTAAGTGGCTAAAACTCTAAACTTGAGAGTGCAGTGATATAAAAGCTGAATTTCAAAGCACACCAGATGGTCTTCATAGTGTCTTCATTTTACAGCCATATGCTGCTCCATATGATACTTTACTTTTAACCTACTTTCTGTCAGTAGCACAAAAAAGGTAATGCTACATTTCTCTCATTTTAGGCACCGTTCAGATTATAGTGCGGAACTAAATGAGTATTCATAGATACGATTAGCAGATGAGGAATCAGCGCCTTAAGTACCAACGACAGCAGAGATGCTTATATTTCTTGGACTTTTAATGACGTTAAACAAATAAAGTTTGACTAAACAGTATAGCATCTACTCTGAGGACAGGCCCGCTCAGGTTCCAGTTTCCCTTTCTAAATGTCCTGTCTCCTTTATCATAAACTTAACATCAGAGTCGCACAACACAATGACTGTGTTCTTGTCTTCTCCTGTATCGTACCATAGTGGAGTTTTTATAACATGTTAATGGGCGGGTTTGTTTAATATTCCAGACACACCAGATGTGACTGAGAAGCAGGACTAACTGAAAGTAAGAGAGAGAGTTTAGTTTCTGAGTTTTCTTTCTTGCGTACCTGGAACTGACTGGTTCAAGTGAGGCCTTTTAGAATCATAGCACCAACCCAATTCCATCTTTATTCCTTATTAATAAATGTAACATGTGTTAACGTACTTAAAAAAAAAAACTCCTATAGCTGTTACACTCACCTCAGTCTGAATGACGCGGACCAGGTAAAGCAAATGTGAGACGGTTTTGGCAATGGCACCTAGCTGAAGGCATCGTTCCAGAAGAGACATCAGCGATTGGTCGATCCTCCTCTGAAGTTTACTCCACAACAGAATCAAGTCCCTTTGGATGAAGAATAAGAGCAATCAAGTCTTTGTTGTACTTTTCCTTTTATCAGAGAGATACTCTGCTTGACTGACTGGGATAACCACGACGATGACAAACTAATCAAGACAAGCCAACATGAGATAACGCACAACTCATACAGTCCAATCAGAGATTACTCACCAGGAGCAGTAAAGGCTCTGCTGCTGTAGCTGCTGTGTCAGGAAAGTTGTGCACAAGATGAAGGCCGTGTTCTCCTCCCCCTCCGTCTCAAGACTGCATGTGATCTCCAGCACATCCTTACAGTCAAGTCTGGATATCTGTTCAGGGTGGGAATACAAAACTGAGTGCTACGAGAACAGCACGACAGACGAATACCCTTAAATATAATACTTTAAGTGCAGTTTCTTTGTTTGTGTCATTAGAAAAGTCAGTGTTTTCACAATCATGGCAATACATTAGAACATATTGTAAAGCTGCAGGTTTATGAATCTGTTCTGAGAGCGTAAAAAAGTAGACATAAAATGTTAGGAAAGGTGTTGGAGGGAAGATGGCTGAATAAATATCTGCAGGGTAATAACATACAAATCTAATTTCACACTTCATTGTGAATCACTCACTGTCCTTATGATCAGATGATCCAGGAGTGGAACGACATTACAGATAGTATAACTTCTCCATACCTAAATCTAAAACACTGCCTTTTCAACTTGACTCCTCAATGAAACAAAACACTAAATCCCTGAAGAATCACCAGGTGAGCGCTCAATGTCAGTAAGTGTGAGTCTAACGTCAGCGTTTCTCTACACATAATCAGAGTGCTGCTTTACCTCCATGATGCTTCTTCATTGGGCAGCAGGTGACACAGCAGGGAGACGTAAGTTTGACGAAAGGTTGCCTGGTTGGAGATGACGCTGCATTCAGTGCAAGCTTTAGCCAACACCACTGCTTTGGCAACTTCGCCCATCTTCTCCAGGTGCTTCACCCGCATCTCCATGAAGCCCTCGCCCTCCAAGCTGATGTAGGCATCAACTATTGAGAGAAATATATTTTTAAAAACAACTATCACGAGAGCAATGTGAGGATAAATCATGTCCACATGAAACTTGATCAAACCTTCTTCTGTGTTGGTGGGCTGGCCGGTGAGGAGGGAGGTAAGGACAGGGTTGCTCCACGCTCCTCCTTCTCCGGTGATCTGCAGTAAAGCTTGGAGGTCTGTGCTGCCATACTGTAGCAAGGTATCATGGGCAATCTGCAAGTAACACAAAAAATGTCTCACTTAATCGAAAAACAAATTAATCGATATTTCTCTTACACAGAGTCAGCGGAAGAGCATCTCTCATACTGTCATGTGGAATATTTAGTTGGACCCATCTTTGTTTAGAGCAGATGAAGGGTTTAGCTTGGCCTCATTTCAGTCTTTGAACTGCTCATGTCTGGGAATGAAACTTCATCACTGCTCAGCTAAAGCTGCCAACTTTTAAAAATTACTTTCCTTTGTTGTCAATAGTGCTGACAAAGATTTGAACATTTTCTTAATAATAACATCAAACAGAATTATTTATGTGAAGAATCCAGACAAATATAACACAGTTACAGTTTAAGAGTGAGCTGGACACAATCTTAAAGCAAAGAGAACAACAGTAATAAGACGTAATGTCAGAGAGATGACGCGTTCCTCTGACACTTCATGGTGCATCAGCTGTCTTCAGATGGATATCTAACTAACAGTATACAGTAGTGTACAGTAAACTCTTCAGTTAATATAAGGCAATTATATTACCATAAATCCAGAATATAAATCACACCGGTACATAAGACGCAGTCTGTTTTTGAAGGTCTCTCAAAGAGAAAAAAAAGTTTAAACTAACGTTCTCCGTGACGATTTCTATCGTGTTCAGCGGAGTCCACAACGTGCAGTTTCTGTGCAGCTCTATCGCTCTTTTAGTTCCATCTGTTTTCACTTTGTGGAGTTTGCACCCCTCAGTACAATAGTCGAGCTCTCAGCCTGCAGTGAAAGTTGTGAAGCACAGATGCCTAGCTTGCGAGCTCCCTGCCCGACTCCGCTGGTCACTCTTTAACTTTAATATAATCAAAAGAGCGCCCGACAAGGTTTATATACGGAACAATATACCATTGTTTTCTGTAAATGAATGATTATGACCTCGTGATGAAGAAAAGATGTGAAAAGGTCTGGTCTGTGTCGCTATCTCTCCCAGCACAGTGTGCAAACAGGCTGCGTTACACAATGAATTTTCAATTGCTTCTAGGCGTGAGGAGTGTGTGATGGTGGCGGCTGTACCCGCGGTATTGACAGCTATTGGTAGCACCAGTGTATAAGACGCAGACAATTTTAAGATGAAACAAAAGGCACTTTCTGAACCATGAGACCCAAATACTCTTCACATCAATACTAAGCTGTTTTCACACATTGATGAGAAAGACACTTCATGCCTTTACTTACATTTACTTTCATTTCAAGTACACAACTTGACACCAAGGTGAGGCTACAGCACAGACTGTGAACACCAGTTGGTGAGCTTTAAGAAGGGCGTTGGGAGCAGTTTCTCATGTTTTTGTGCCGAGGTGACCTTGCTATGTTGAGCCCCTCACAGCTTATCTTTTTATTGTTTATGGAGAATAATCAGAAAGTGGAATTCTTAGAGAAATTACACACATTATCAGACATGTATATCTATATCCCACAGGCTTTAATACCATGTATGATAACTCTGAGTATTATCTATCGGTAATCCTTAACCTTGTCTCTAATATGAGACACAACAGCCTCCTATCGACTGGTTTGAGATAACATTCACCAAGGACAAAAACAATCCTGATTCTAAATCATTGTTTCTCACATACGGAAATGGCATTTGATGGTTTTGTAACTGTTGACACTTTTCCTCCAGGATTTTAAAATCTGTAACCGGTCAGCAAACAATGTATTGAATGGAGCTCTACCTGAACAGACTGGTGGAACTGAACCCAGGCTTCATATGGGATTTCATTCTCAGGCACTGACAGCAGCAGTTCAAAACAGCTCCTGAAAGAAAAGGGAAACAACATCACCATGGGCTCTTCAAGTTATTATGCTTATAAATCATCTAGAAAACTGAGTCTCTACAAGTGTGAACTTTGGGTGTATTCATCTCTTCTAAAACAGACTTTAAGTTTTGTCATGCTGTCTGATAGTGAAAGTCATTTTAAGATCTGCATTAGTGTTCAGGATGCTTCTTCAAACATTGTGAAAGAAGGCAGAATAAGCAGACACCTCACATATTTCACGTTCTACTGGATCTAATATAAGGTCTCAATTAAAAGCTCTTCATGAAAGACTTTTTATTCAGCTTAAAAATAAACTGGAACAACCCCCATCCTTCACGTGGGCTCTCTGACCGACCTAATTTACCTCACATCAGCAGATTCCTTCAGACAGCCTGTCATTTGCAGCCTGAACCCTCTAATACATCTTAAAGCACACCGTGAAACTCATCTAATCCAAAGTAACAACCAATCTCTGTCAGTCAGTGTGAGCCTGTGTCCTTCATGTGGGTTCACTATATGATGAGTCACTGTTGATTTAGAACTGTTACTATTGATAAAATGTAAGTTACAGCTTTGAGAAGAGACTGCTTCTTTGTCATATATTACTCCGATGTGTTAGACCTCATGGAACAAATTGCCTCAGGGGCAGAAAAGACACAGACCTGACTGAGGTTATAACCCCACCGATTGAATTTGAGTTCTTACATTTTTGGGTCCTTTCATCCCCTCAAAGTGAAGTTATGTTTGTAATACTGTATTCACAATATATAGTGAACAACTGTGACTGATTGATGATGATGATTGGAGGTCTAAATGATTCAATAAATGTTACTCAAAGTCATAATACAAAACTCTCTCTTCAGTGCAAATGACAAAAAAATGTGATTCAGTTAGGGATCAGAGCATCTTGAGTAGAAATGTATTCCAGTTTAAAGTATTAGAATATTTTATCACCCATTAGGTGAGGTGTTATTCCTAAAATAGAGCCCTGACAGATCAAGAAAATAGAAAGATATAATCAAAAGTAAATGACGATTTGTAGGATCTTTCAATGTGAAAAGAATAGGGGGCTGAAGGGATTTGGGTTTGGAACCGGAGGGTCGCCAGTTCCAAGTCATGGCGCGGCGACTAGAAACAGAGGTGCCAGTTGACTTCCTGAGCACTGCCGAGTGCCATTGAGCACGGCACTGAACACCCAACAGCTCAGAAGCACTCGCTGTGGGCAGCCCATTAGGGCTATAGGATCCTGTTTGAGCATGTGTGTGTATTTCTGCCTGCATGTGTGTGTAGCATGTTCAACAACAGAGTGTTAAAAGGTGGGATTAATTAATCTAAAATATATATTACATCATAAAAGAGAATTTCCTCACCAAACCAAAAGCATTGTGTATTCTCTAAGTTAGGTTTTTGATCAAACTCAAGCCTGCAGAACATCCACTAAGCACGACCTGCTACACAGTCAGGAAAACTACAAATATGTCAAAACCTCTGGAACCTTGTGAACATCCATGACAGTCATTTTTTAAACAAATAATGAGACATGAATTCTCAATTAAGTAGGATATTTATGGGAGATAATTTGGGAGAAACTTGTCATTTAAAAACAAAAAGCCTGAATATTTTAGAGATTGTGCAGCCATACTTTTAACACCACTAATTCATCTAGTTATGTAAATGGAGGATGCATGAGAACCCAACCTTTCCACCTTCAATCCAAATACAAATGAAACACAACACAAAAGGTTAAGGGTGCAAACAAAATACATTAACAAAACTCAAACTAGTGTGGCGAAGAAAAGACTATGCTGCTGTTCCTTCTGACAGATTCTCCTCTTTGAGTCGAAGGATGTGGAGAATGTGTTGTAATGTAATAGATGTTGGTGTCTTAGTACTTACAACGCTAGTCTCTTCAAAACTAGGGCCACTCTGTCGGACTCCGCTGTGAGGTGGGATCGGGCAGCAGCAAAACAGTTAATGGACAGACAGTAGACCTCGAGTAGAGGAAGACCATGCTCCATGGAGTTCCTGCTCCCAGCATAGTGCATCAGTGCCTATAAACACAAACACACAGACATTCAAACAATCACTAAGGGCAAAAGTTATCGAGCAACAGTACTTAGAAAACAGCAAACAGGGGGGGGTTTCCACATGGGGGTGATCCTAGTCTGTACCTGATTGATCCCAGCTGACACTGTGTCAGGTGTGAGGTTCTCCTGATTGAGTCTGAGGGGACTTGACAGAACAGCTTATGACAACTCTGAACCCCCAACAGTGAGCCAACATGCACCAGGAGGAAAAAAAAGTCTGAGCAAGGGGACAGGAGTAGTGTCACATCCTTTCTAGTTATCAAACTTCAACTAATAACATTTGACAGCAAAGTAGACACTTTCATAATATCTAATAATGTAATGAATCAAGAGCTTCTTTGGTACATTTGCTTTACAACAAAATGCAACCATGTTTTTTTCCCCCCATAATTATAACAAAATAAAAATGTGGAGATGCAGAAAAAAGTTCTGATCTGATTCCTTATTTTTTTAAAAGAGGTCTCAGCTGGGTTTTTAGGTAAATGTTGTCTTTACTGTGTGTGTGTGTGTGTGTGTGTGTGTGTGTGTGTGTGTGGTGTGTGGTGTGTGTGGTGTGGGGGGCAGTAGTGCATCACCTGTATGAGAGATACACATGACAATCACCACCACTATCATCCTCCCAGGAGTCCCATTTGCCAGACAGCAGAAACCTCGCTGGTGTTGATGCTCGTGTCTACAGAGGCACCAAATGAACTCCCCTCAGTCTAAATAAACAGCATCCTCTCAAAGGGAGCCAGAACACAGTCTCATAAACCACCAGAGACCTCTTTCAAATGTGCTAATTACATCCAGAGTGCTTCCGACTTAAAACATAAAAATAGATGCAACACAATGCTTACACGGTTGTTTCAAAATCAAGCAGAATCTAAATTTACTCAAGATTAGAAATTTGACAAAAAAGCTTACTTTTTAATTCACCAGTGCACCTAAAGTAAACATCCTATCCTTCAGCAGCACACTCCACTGTCAGTGTGGTAGGCATTTGATTAATCTGTATTTATGCAAATATATTTGCTTGTTGTAGTTTCACTTGGAGCTGTGATTATAAACCATGCACTCCTGACTTAAGATGTTATAATAAAGTAATAAATGGTTCAGATAAGGGGTTGTAGATTGTAGATTGTAGATTGTGGAAACTAAAGTTCCTATCCCCATTTTTCCCTCATAATTTAGCATAAAGGTATGTTACTGATGACAGAGAAATGACACCACAGCAGAAACACTGTCATATGTTGAACAGAGGTTGAGAATACTTAAACTCAGACCTAAATAACAAAACAAACAAAAAAATAAACAGGTGCAGAACAGACTGAAAACCACCAAACTGCCATTTTGCAGACACTGTACGCCCCAACAGAGGAGCTAATTTGGATATACTAACAACGATGCAGCCCCGCCCAACACACATGCAATAATGCATATTCTGCAGAATACAACAATGTGCATGCTAATATCTTAATGATTCCTGTTTGGCCATCTAGGCTTTGTAATAAAACGAAGCCACTCGTTTTTATTTCAACGCTGCAGCCTGCAACAAATCACTTCACCACCACTGTAACGATGCATTCACATTAAGCTGTATAATGGCTGTATTGCTTTTTTGCATTGAATTAGGCAATTAGGAGCAAAAACACTCACGGTGCAATTGCACACGAACCACAAACTTGGTCAGGTAGCTAACGGGCCAGGCAGCCGTGAAAGCTTCGCTAGCTTTTCGGGCTGCGAGTAAAAAAACAATCCCCCTTTCAGTGAGCTAATGCTAACGCTAGGCTATTATTAGCTCCGATTGTTGCATGTACACATTACCTGACAGAAGTTGTCGCAGTAGTCCGTGGAGGATGCCGTGGATATTTCTTGTTGCCTAAGCACGTCTTCGAAGGCCCTCAGGGTGGCCAGTAAGGTTTCCATCGCAACCAGGGTATCCTCGGCCGTGTCCAGGGCCCGGTCGCTCCATTCGTGCTCCGGTTCGACATTATTCTCCGCCATCTTCCCTCTCCGCCACGGCGCGTATGCAGTGCAGTCTGACGCCGCCTTCAAGTGCCGTCGGAATATTGATGTTCGCCAGTTTAACTTTCTCTTTAAACAGCAGAGCAGACCGTAAGAGGGGGCTGGACTGGGACGCCTAGAGAATAGATTTTGTTTTAATAATAACTGGTAGGTTTTTGTGTCAAGTTGTACCACCAGATCACAATTAAAAACATGATTACTGGTTAATTTTTAAATGTTAAATGGATTTTTTTTTAAATAATAACTGGTAGGTTTTTGTGTCAAGTTGTACCACCAGATCACAATTAAAAACATTATTACTGGTTAATTTTTAAATGGTAAATGGAATTTTCTTTAAATAATAACTGGTAGGTTTTTTGTGTCAAGTTGTACCTGATTTATTTTTTATTTAGATCCAATTAAAAACATGATTACTGGTTAATTTTTAAATGGTAAATGGAATTTTTTTAATAATAACTGGTAGGTTTTTATGTCAAGTTGTACCTGATTTTTTTGATTGAGATCACAATTAAAAACATGATTACTGGTTAATTTTTAAATGGTAAATGGAATTTTTTTAAATAATAACTGGTAGGTTTTTGTGTCAAGTTGTACCTGATTTTTTTTTATTTAGATCACAATTAAAAACATGATTACTGGTTAATTTTTAAATGATAAATGGATTTTTTTTTTTTTTAATAACCGGTAGGTTTTTGTGTTTAGTTGTACCACCAGATCACAATTAAAAACATTATTACTGGTTAATTTTTAAATGGTAAATTGATTTTTTTTAAATAATAACTGGTAGGTTTTTTATGTCAAGTTGTACCTGATTTGTTTTTGATTGAGATCACAATTAAAAACATGATTACTGGTTGATTTTTAAATGGTAAATGGAAAATGTAGCTTGTATAGCGCTGATCTAGTCTTCTATGCTCCTATATCTGGATCAAACTCCCAGAAAACTGCAGGTCTGCTGAAACTCTCAGCTCTTTTAAATCCAGGTTGAAGACACACCTGTTCACAGCTGCCTTTCATTAAACAGCTTTAATAAGATTTTAAATTTTAACTTTGCACTGTAACTTTTAACTTTTTTATATTTTTACTTTATTTATTTCAATTAATTTCATTTGAATTATTCTTATTTGAACATATGTTCAGATTTAATAATTCCAGGGATTTTCTGTTCTATTTTAATGTTTATTTTCTTTCCTCTGTCACGATGCTTTTGATGTCTTGTGTGAAGCACTTTGAATTGTGTTGTTGTTGAAGTGTGCTATATAAATAAACTTGCCTTGCCTTCTGACTACTCAAAGCGCTTCTACCCCACAGGTCCCAACTATCCACTCACACACTGATCGCAAGGGCTGCTATGAAAAGACTACATCAGTATTAACTAATCCAATTCATACACATTCATACGCCCACCGCCGAAGCAGCTGGAGCAATTTGTGGTTAAGTGTCTTGCCCAAGGACACATCTGACATGTGGCTGCAGGAGCCGGGGATCGAACCCCCAACCTTCCGGAAACTATACCACTGAACCACAGCCGCACATCTGAATCCTGTGAATTTATCAAACCTAAATACGATACAGTTTGGTATAAAACATGTTAAAATTCTGAACACTTTGATAAACAAGCAATAGCCTACATCAAAAAAGGGAGAAAATGACAATTAAGCCTATATGAATATATAACAATAACAATATCTAAAAACAATACAAATAAATTAATACATTTACTATGTTTTTGAGGTAGTGGTGATGTAATTTGTTGCTGAATTATAACAACAAAAACTTTTACCACATATGATGAAACCTTTTAACAAAACTACGTAACACAGCATGCAGCAGTAATCGTTAAATCTCGATTATCTTGTTATCATGATCGTGGGGAGCCAAAATCATGAAGGAAATTGAAACTCGATTAATTTCCCAGCCTTAGAGAAATGATTCTTTATCTCTAAGAAAGATTATTTTAACTACTGATCAAAACAAATCTATCGAGTTGACAATAACAATTACGAGCAGAAAGTAAAGTAACACTCTCTATAGCTTTAAAAAGTGACCTGATTCTTCCACTTAACAGGGAATATAAAGAAAATAACAGTTCATTGAGGCAAGGTATGCAATTATTTTAAACAACACGATCAAACAGTTCAATCGTTGTTCCCCTTTAAGATTTATTGGTAGTCAGGGCAGCAAAAAGTATGAGCATATGCAACTGACTTTTGTGTTTTGTAGTTCTGGTTGACCCATATGGAGGTATTACTTTCATTATGATGAGGCAGATATCATCATCATCATTTACAACAACAACAACAACAACAACAACATGTATTGTACCAGAGATTTTATCTTTATTTGTGAAAGATATTTTACATTGACAGTACCCAACATTTTACAGACTCGAATAACTCCTATAAATAAGAGACTTAAGAATAAAGGGGTAAATATAATATAAAATATAAATGAAAATAATAACAGGAGTCTGACAAAGTGTTCAATAAAGTTAGAATCATTTATTTAAAATGCATAACACACTGGTGATGATTTAGCAAATCGACAGAATTGTATATTTATATATCTATGTATATTTTTGCCTTTATTTTTTGTTACATTGTATTTGGCGCCCTCTTCTGGTTAGACAGGGAAGTGTTTGATTTATTTCCTGACCCGGATGTGCTCGAAGTAAATTCATCCCGTAGCCACACGTGTTAAAGGTAAGCAAAGCAACACAATTTCACTCTGGTGTGTTTTTAGGAGTTAATCTGCTTTATCACGATGTTTCCTGAGATTAAGGAAACATCGTGAAACCTTATTGGGAGTCATTCAAGATTAGATATTAATTTAAACTTCGAGGTCTGCAGAAATCCGGACTTTCTGTCTTCTAGTCACCGTGCAGTAAAGTAACAAGAGGAGTCAGCTGGTTGGATTTGTGCTTGCGTTCTGACAGGTCTAATTTGATCTCTACCTACCTGTAGGATCCACGATGGGAAAGTCCAAACAAATAGGAAACCACAAGAGTGACAAGAAAAAGAACATCGCAAAGACATGGAAGACCAAGCGTCGGACCAAAGACCTGGACCAGATCCACTCAGACATGAAGCCTGATACAGCCTCCAAGCTGCTGCACCAGGAGGTGGACTACGACGTGACTGGATGTGCACAACATTACTGCTTACACTGCGCGTAAGTTTCACTTTGTGTCTGTCTAATGGACTCAATGCCATGTTTTTATTCTAACAATACATTGTGATTAATGACTCTGCACTAAACTGGTTGACTTTAATTTAACATTTAAAAAAACACACACATAAACATGTAATAAAAACTAAATCAATACTCACAGCACACTAAAAGAAATAAAGAAGACAGACCAAAACAAACCTAAATCATAACACAGTAATGAAGCGTTAAAACAGGGGTGTCCAAAGTGCGGCCCGAGGGCCATTCGCGGGCCCTTGAGGGGATTTTTTGCGGCCCGTGACTTCAATGAAGAATTCATGAGAGCAACCCATCCGGGTACTTTTTGCCCAAACGATGCCGGCCCCGCCCCTTTCTGGGTGAAATCAGTCCATCTGAATGAATGGCGGTTAATAGACAAGTTGGGGTCATTACCGATTTAAAGTCTAAGTATGAGCCTAAATCTGATGACCAGTGATGTAAACATTTAAAATATGACATTTCTGAACAGAGATCGGCATCACAACGGTCTAAAATTAACCATGTACGTGAGTGTCTGTTCAGTCTCTCTCCGTCAAACTGCTAAAACGAGTCATAAGGAGTCATACACTGACTTTAAACACCTGGTGAGTAATTATTAACCGTGTTACTCGAGAGGGATCTTTATTTTTAAATAATACATCAGTGAATGAATGTGTGAAAGACTTCTCTTCTGTCACGGAGCGATCGCTGCCTTAAAGCCAGCAGGAACATGACAGCGGTCCCAAAATTTACCACTTTAATCCTTTCTAGTTTCAGTCCAAACACACACAGCTCTTCTTTTACCTTCCCTTGTCCTTTGTAAATGAAACCCGATACTAAATTGTGTTTTTAAAATAGTTTGAAGTACAAAAAGCTTCGCAATCGCGTTTAATCTCACGGCTACCAGTGTTTTCTAATCTACCGGCGATACATCTCAGGGCTTGTTTTCACCCAAACGGGGGCGTGGTCACTCTGACGAGCCGGAAGTGACGTCCGACTGCTCTTATGAATCAGAAGATTTTGGCCCGAGGCCTCGATTAAGATCGGCACATTATCTTATTTTTCTTTTTCATGTTAACAAGGGCTGAACAATATTCCTAAAATAGAAAATGTTCAGTAACATGTATGTTGTTGTTTTTTTTGTTTTTTTTAATCTACAGATTTTACTTTTTTCACATTTATTTTTGTAAATTAAGAAAAAAAACGTACGCACAGTTTTTGCAAACAAGCGGACTGTTGTTTAACCATTTAATGACCTGAGCTAAATGCAGAAAGCTTTTCCAAAAAACATGAACCACATTACAGGTTTGATTCTGAGAAAAAAACAAATAAAGTAGAACGAAGAAATCCAAATATTAGATTTATCTTTTATTAAAGGGTTTCTTTAGCGAGCCTTTTAAGTCTGATCTACAAAGCTTTACTATTTTTTCAACTATATTTTAAAAAACAAAACCTGTGGCCCGCGAGCGATTCTAACACGACAGTCTTAAAGAAATTGTTTTCGACAGCTCAGTAATACGGCACATCCGATAGATTGGACTCTAATGTGAGAGGTTTAGGGCTAGGACAGCAAAGAAGCGATCACCTTTGATGCAGATGGAAGAGAGGATCCATTAATGGCAGAGATGGACGGATTAGGGTGGATGAGAAATGAATGAGGAACAAGAAGAGAGGAAATGAAAGTCAGGTTGAAGTCGTGCTGTGTCTTTATTTAGTCTAGTTTTAGTTGACACCTGAATTAAATGAAAATGAATAGTTTGAGATCTCTAGAGAACCAGATATGTCTGATTGTTTTCTATCTTTTTAACCTCACTTTAATCATCACTTGTCACTTTATCTTGTCATTCTCTGCACATACTGTCTCAATTCCCTGCATAGTTAACTTCATCATTCATTTTGTACTTGTATATACCCCCTATTTTTTTTTATTCATCTTATCTAATCTGTTCTGTTTAATGTGTATTTTGTATTTTAAGTTTACTTGTCTGTGCTGCTGCAACGCCCAAATTTCCCCTCTGGGGATCAATAAAGTATTATCCTAACCTGAAGAGAACAGGACTGTGCAAACTTGTTGACAATATAATAAAAAGTCACATACTGCTAAGTGTGTAACTAGAAACTGGACTTAAAGAATATTATAGAGACCCTGGAGGTATTTTATTTTGGAGATATCTCATCTCTTCTGAAACGCTCCATATTTGCTTTAATGTGACTGGTCGTCTTATTTTTGTACTTCTGATATCTGCAGTGCTCGAGATCTCTTCTTCAAACGAGCCCTCGATATCACAGACACTGCAGAATAAAAGCTTGAGCAGACAACTCTGAGATGGGGAAAAAAAAAAAAAACACCCCTCAAGAACACGCTTGATTTTTAAAAGTAATCTGAGAAATCATTCAGTACTGTGCGCTGTGAAGAAACCTTCTTTTGCCACTTCTGCTATGATGTTTTTTTTCTACCTTTCAATGAAGTCTATATTAAAAAATGTCTTTGCAGTTATCGTTTTTAAGTGTCACATCATGTCTTGCAGGAGATACTTTGTGGACATGAGATCCTTAAAGGAGCATTTCAAAACTAAGCAGCACAAAAAAAGGTAAGGCACCATATCCGTCTGCATAATCCATGTTGTCCACTTATCTCTCCTGACTCCAACTCGAAAGATGAATCTGTCTGCTGGAGCAGCACTGTGACATAGTTTGGCTCTTAAGCTCCCCCTCCTTCTTCCACCACGCAGGCTGAAACAGCTCAGAGAGGAGCCGTACACCCAGGCAGAGGCAGAGAGAGCGGCAGGGATGGGCTCCTACATCGCTCCTAAAGCAGTCGAGGTGAAGACGCAGACTGTTGAAGAGGACATGGACTGAGAGCAGCACGCTTGAACCCAATGGACCGATACATTCAGTACAAGAAGCTTTCAGAAAACGGATGAAGCTTCTGTTGTTCTGTCACATGTTAAATGCATTGTTCAATTCTGTGACACCCTTGAAGCCTGTCTGATAGACTTCTATCCCCAGAATCAGATCAAACCTGACCTTACACCGGGTAATGTAAAGCAACATGTACCTATGTAAATACTGAGTATGTGTGGAACTGTGTGGAATCCTAATAAACCTAAAGAGAGAGTGGATTTTACACGATTGTGTTCATACGGGGCGACATGATTGGTAACAGAAGCCTTTTTGAAAACATGAAAAACCCGCCAACAACACACTAATTTGTGTTCACCTGAACTTTTGTTGTTTTTCTCATAATATTGTACCCAGCCTGAGGTCAAGACTTAACTGATGATTCATTTTCACTTCAGAATATATTTATTTTCAGAACCCTGGAGGTGAAATAAGAGGGTTTGGAGGGGGGGTTAATGTTTTACCTTTTCACATCTGTAAATATATATATACATACTTATTTACATGAGATTTATTTGGGGCGTTAGAGAGCGGGGAATGACATTCTGGAGAGGAGCCACAGGTCGGGTTTGAACCCAGGTTGCCTGCTTAAAGGACTACAGCCTCCATACACGGGGCGCGCTCACTAACCACTAGGCAACCCTTTGAATACTTTTTTAGGTTTTTGATTTTATTATTGTGTCATACATATGCCCAGCACGCACTGGCTTACATGACTCCATGAATTTAAACGCTCCAGGATCAGAGTGCAGAGTAGCTCTTATTCAGACCATCTTGTCTCATTTTCTAAACTTTTCAGACTAAATTAGCGAGCTGAAACACATCACAAACAGCCTTTCAAGTTCTAGCACACCTAGTAATTCTAAAAATGAAAGACCCTTCTAGGATAAGATTTCCACAGGCAGACTTTGAGGAAATAAACCATGTCTGCATTAAGTTAAGTAAATGTACTAAGATTATAATGAAGGGTCTATTGTTGAAATATGAGCCAGTCTGACGTAACAGCAGATAAATGATTGTTTTGTAGTCGTAGAGGTCATAAAAAAAGAATAGAAAGACGGTCTGCCTTGGCAGAGAACCCTATAATTGAAGTGTTAGCAGACATTCCTGGGTTGAAGTAGAGGGTACTGCCCCTTTAAATTTGACTTCTGTGCCAGCGACTACATTCTGTCAAGTAACATGGAATGTGAACAAACTTCCGCTTATTATTTTCAAATTAAAAGCTTTGGCGGTTTGGTCTGTGGCTTATATCAGCAAGCTATGGAAGCCCATTTCCGCCAGTTAAAAAATAAAAATAATAAAGTCATAATAATGAGATATAAAGTCATAATTATGAGAAATAAAGTCATTATGAGATAAAAAGTCGAGATTATGAGATATAAAGTCATAATAATGAGATATAAAGTCATAATTATGAGAAATAAAGTCATAATAATGAGATAAAAAGTCAAAATTATGAGAAATAAAGTCATAATAATGAGATATAAAGTCATAATAATGAGATATAAAGTCATAATAATGAGATATAAAGTTTAAAATTATGAGACTTTATTATTTTCATTTTTATTTTTTTTACTGGCGGAAATGGGCTTCCATAGAAAGCCGTATGTTATTACTTTAGGGAGAGAAAAAACACGTAAAAACGTTTTTATTGTCTTACTGTTGCATTTTAAGATAAAAAAAAAAAAAAAAAAGATTAAAGATAAAAGAGCATGATGTTAGACAAATTAAATCACACTGCTTCTTTTATTTTGAAACCCAAAACGTCAAACATCCGGTTTTATATCGTATTTTACTTCATCGCTTGACTCATGTGAAAAACATCCATATGGGTCCGGATCCGATGTGGGAAATAAGAAATCTGTGCTGCTAGCTGTGCAGCTGTCGTCACGGCCGAAAAAGACGCACCGTCGCCGGCTACAGGAGAACCAGAACAGTCCGGTACAACAGTTTGGTGGGAAAAAGTGGATACTTGGCGGATTTTTTTTTTTTGAGGGTAAGAGGGGGGATGTTATCTGACCACAATGTCTTCGTCAGAATAGCTGAGGTGGAGGTCGAGGATGGCCGCAGACGTGGATAAAACAATCCCCGAGGAAAGGAGCCAAAATTCGGCGCGGGATGGGCAGCAGGGTCCGGGCTCTGGATCCTGGATCTCCCGGGTTCTGTGGACTCTGCTCATAGTTGGTGCTGTCCCGGTTTTCGCCTTTGGATTCAAGTATTACCAAGACACCCAGCTGCTCAAACGTCATGTGAGAGATCCACATCTGCACACACACACACACACACACACCTCATTATATAGCAAACTTCTTTATTTTGAAGACAACTACACATATAAACATGATAATGACCCAGAAAATGACTGTTTAAAATGACCTTCTGTTATGTTTTCTGAACTTTAATTACTGCAGGATCATTTTATTCTTCTGTATCAGTAATAGTCTGCCCTTAAAATGTGAAATCAGAGCATATATTGATTTAAAATACATACAGTCAGTTGTCTAGTGTAGTTATTTGTCAGACATCTGTTGCCACAAAACACCTCATCTGCAGTTTTTCCACACCTTGGTGTTTTATTAGAGGGGTGGGACTTTACCACAGCTGGTAAAACTCAGCCTCTTGTTAAGTGTCTCTCTTGTTTGGCTTCAGAGGGGTTTCCTCTATGTAGTTTTTTTACTTCCCTCTCCCCCCCCTCTCTCCCTCCATTGTGCAGACTCTTGTAGGCACGCATCTGTCTGAAAAGAGGGTGGTCTGATTTAGTACATGCCAGGAATCTGTGGCCTGTGGGGTGGGCTGATGTTTATCCAAACAGCAACGCTTAGGTTGACTGAGAACTCAAACACAAGGCGGAGGAAACCCTGAAACAATGTTTTTTTTTTTGCATAATTCAAGATTTACAAGATGAGCTTTTATTTCTAAGATATTCTCGTGATGAGAGCGCTCACTGTCCCAGTTTTGATGCTGCATTCAAAATCTCTGAAGCGTGTGAAACCGGTGAAAAGGAAAAGATCGGTCTAACGCACGTGCCCCCCTCCAAACAGGAAGAGAGTGTCCAGACGCTGGGCGCCGAGGGGCTTTTCCTCTTCTCCTCCTTAGACACCAATCATGACCTCTATCTCAGTCCGGAGGAGTTCAAGCCGATCGCAGAGAAACTCACAGGTACATCCCGTTTCTTTCAGCAACACCGTGTTGTCTTTCACTCGATCTCCTCAGTCACCCAACTCAAATACATCCCCATATTCACCATGATTCTTATGGCTTTTTTTTTTTTTTTTGGTTTCTTTTTTTGAAGGGATTACACCCCCAGCGGATTATGAGGAGGAAGTGATCCATGACCCCAATGGAGAGACTTTGACCCTGGAGGCAAGAATGCAGCCGCTGCTGCTCGACTCCATGACAAAAAGCAAGGACGGTTTTCTCGGGGTAGCTCTTTTCAAACCACATCCAAAATACCTCTCTGTGTCATTTCCTGCATTTTTTTTTTTTTTTTTTTTTTTTACCTAAGACAACAAAAATAATGTCAAAGAAAGAAAAAACCACAGAGTGGATTGTTGATTTTGTTCCTGCACCTACAGGTGTCTCACAGCTCTCTGAGCGGGCTGCGCTCATGGAAGAGCCCGGCAGTGCCTTCTTCTTCCTTCTCCGCCGGCCAGTTCAGAGTTTTCCTTCCCCCGAAGAACAAAGTCGAGGTAGGAGACACCTGGTGGGTGATTCCCAGCGAGCTCAACATCTTCACGGGTTACCTGCCCAACAACCGCTACCACCCTCCCTCACCGAAAGGCAAAGAGGTAACATGAAGACACAACGCTTGTTTGGAGCCACATGCAGCCCCGACTTGTGATAATCACACTGTTGTTTTTCCTGCTGCAGGTTCTCATCCACACCTTGTTGAGTATGTTCCACCCTCGGCCCTTCATCAAGTCGCGCTTCGCTCCTCAGGGCGCCGTCGCCTGTATCCGCGCCAGCAACGACTTTTATTATGACATCGTCTTCAGGTGAGGAGGAGACATAAAAAGAGACATAAAAGAGCGGTGCCCTTTTTCTCCTTTCGGCCCATCGACTACTTCATTATGCATCCTTTACATTAGTGCTGACAAGTTTACAGCACACGCTCTGAATGTTAAAGTCCAAGTCCTCCCTGGCTGTCGGCCACTGGTTTCTGTTTAAAATCAGCATGAAGAGATAAATCCCATGACTCCACTATACTTTCAAAGTTAGACTATCATTGGTGTCTATGGAGTAAGTACACGAGTTGAAACAAACATGTTGTTTAAAAATGGCAAAGAAAGTATTTAATCAGGAGAGACTTAAGGGTTAACAATGATTTATTCACCAGTTTAGAAAAAGATTAAAATGCACTCAGAGGGTCAGCGAGGCCGACAGCAGGATAGGAGTCCAGACACTAGTGGTGGTGGTTATGGAGGTATGCAGGATGTGATGAGGAGTGGGTTTCTGAGGCTGGATCTGAACTCTGCCGAGCTGGAATGGAGAGATGACTGTGAACACAATCTCGCATTCTGTTTGCAGGATTCACGCGGAGTTTCAGCTCAACGACGTCCCGGACTTTCCCTTCTGGTTCACCCCGGGCCAGTTCACCGGACACATCGTTCTGTCCAAAGACGCCTCTCACGTGCGCCACTTCCACCTCTACGTCCCCAGTGACAGGTAACTCTTTTACAAGCATGGCAAGAACTGATAAAAGAAAACTAAATATGTGAGTCCCAGAGCTGTTTTTTTTTTTTTTATGTCTTATTGTAGAGACAGGAGAGTGGAGAGAGTCAGAAATCAAGGTTAGAGAGAGCGGGGGGATGACGTGCAGGAAAAGAGCCACAGGTTGGATTTAAACCCGGGTTGCACGCTTGCAGGACTACAGCCTCCATACATGGGGCACTCACACAAACTGCTAGTCTAACGGCGCCCCCCCCAGAACCCATTGGTTTAAGTCTTAGAGGTCCCTTAAGTTCAGAATATCCCATGTGAGGAGGAATCAGAATATCAGATAATACAGACATCCCTTCAGGGTCAGTTTTTCCCAATATTTTCCACCTGTCTGGGTGCAAAATATGCAATTTATTACATTCTCTACATTTCCTAAACACTCTCTTTCCACTCAGTGATGGTTGGACATTCCTTATTCAGCCTTTTTCTGGTTATTGCTTTTCATACCACCAGCTGTTAGTATTTGCAATAAATATCTGCCGTGCTTTTTCAGCCTGCTCCTCACATTCCCCAAATCTCAAAAAACTCTCAGTGGAGATTATTGGTTTTATCTCGGTCACCACATCCACCCAGTAAGAAAAGTTATAAGGCCACTCCCAAGAAATGTAAAAAATGACCAGCAGACTTTTCTTTATTTATTATTACCTTAAAGCACGACCACCTGAGTGAGTATGAAGTTGTCAGATACTGAAGCTCAGTGTGACGGGTTCCTGTTGTGTCTCCAGGTCTCTGAATGTGGACATGGAGTGGCTGTACGGGGCCAGTGAGAGCAGCAACATGGAGGTGGACATTGGATACCTGCCTCAGGTACAGCTGCAGTGATGTAGATGGAGGGAGAAGTCTTTTTATGTTCTGTCCCAGGCATTCCTGCTCTTATTTGAGTGTGGCCACATGACATGTTTGTGTTTGGGTGTTATAATTTCACAGGTTTTCTGTTTGTTTTTGATCCTATGAGCTATTTTCACTGAAATCTTTTCAATGCCAATTCATGTGTTTGCAAGAAATACGTTCAAAAGTGATCGTTGCATGATTTAAATGTTGATCTACTGTCGCGTCTACAGTTAGAGCTGCAGTCCACAGGCCCGTCCACTCCCTCGGTCATCGTGGACGAGGAAGGCAACATCATCGACAGCAGAGACGGCAGCATGGAGCCCATCCAGTTCGTCTTCGAGGACATCCACTGGGCCGCGGAGATCAGTCGGCAAGAAGCCGCTCGACGCCTGGACGTCACCCTCTACCCCTTCAAGAAGGTGACCGTCAAAGAAGTGTGTGTCCAGCAGACTGTCAGCTCGAGCACAGCCGCTTCATTGTTGTCATGGTGCTGTTTCCCCAGGTGTCCTACCTGCCGTTTTCAGAGGCGTTCGAGCGAGCCGAGGCGGAGAAGAAACTGGTGCATTCCATTCTGCTTTGGGGAGCGTTAGACGACCAGTCCTGCTGAGGTGACGCCAGTGACATGTGGTTGATTTCTGATCATTTAATACTGACACAGACACAAGTGTAAAAAAAAAACATGGTAGAGCATATTCAGCTTAATATGTGACCTTTAAAGTTGAATTCATAGACGATAAATCACAACTTTATACAGTTTTCTTTGGTGGCTGAGGTGGGCGAGCTCATAATTTAGTCCTTTGAACAAACTTCTTTTTTTTTTATTTCCACTGTGACTGTTTTTTTTTTTAACATCCCTCTCCCTTCTGTTCCCTCTCTGTAGGTTCGGGGCGAACTCTCCGGGAGACAGTCCTGGAAAGTTCGCCCGTCCTGGCCTTGCTCAACCAAAGCTTCATAAGCAGCTGGTCTCTGGTCAGAGAGCTGGAGAGCATGCAGGTGAGCAGTCAGGATACAGAGCAACACCACCCAAAAAAAAAAGTGCAATGGACAGCTTTGTGTACTGTGTGTCTTCATCCAATCCTGTCGTTCTCTGAAACAGGCTGATGAGCAGAACGGAGCGCTGAGCGAGAAGGCCAAATTACACCTGGAGAATTACAACTTCCCCGTCGAGATGATGGTGGCGCTGCCGAATGGAACGATTGTAAAATATACATTTGAGCTCTTATCTCTCAGGCACTTACAGAAAAACCCTTCAGATTAACAGGCTTTCATTTCCCTCCTCCGTTCCGCTCTAGGTTCACCACATCAACGCCAACTTCTTCCTGGACCAGACGGCCATGAAACCAGAGGAGGAGGGAGCCACTTTTAGCTTTTCTGGCGGCTTCGAGGACCCCTCCACGTCCACTTACATCAGCTTCCTCAAGGAGGGGCTGGAGAGAGCCAAGGAGTACCTGGCACAGTAATTTGTGTGCAGGAAAAATGTGGATCATCCTTCTGGGATATGATCAGAGATAAGGAAAAGTATGTGGGGGAAGCTTTCTGATCAGTGTTGGCAGCTGGGGAAAAAAACAAAATTTTTGCCTTCTATTGTCTTTGTTACTATTTATTTGGGCGTCTCTAATGATCAGAATCTTTTCTACACAGTATGTGTAACAATCAGTACAGGGAAACATTTAAACTTAAAGTTACTGTCTCTGTCAGTAAGAAGCAAAAAAGCAAACACATTTAGATCTGCTGTAACAGCTGCTGAATAATGTTTGACAAAGTAGGCACTGCAGACGTTAAGACAAATCAAAAGTGCATAAAAGCACATCGAAACCATCCACATTCCCGTTTTATTCTCTGGTGTTGCATGTGCAATATTTAATAACAGGGTGTGTTTTTTTTAATGCTGTTGACTGTACCCAGAAAGCGAGCAGGTTGTTGCCTCCAGTTGTGTTTCTGCAGTTTGTGAAGACTTGGTCTGAAAGCTCTCCTCTGGGCCGGGCCGAGTCTGATGTTCCTGCAGAGGCTGCTGGAGGACACACCCTCTTCTGACTCAGGGAACAGCAGCAGCAAAAAAACAAAACAAAAAACCCTGTTGAGTGGACTGTGGCACATTAGAGGAAGTATTTGTTTTATTTTGTTAAACCAGATGTTGAATATTTTTGCAGATTTTTTTCTGTTCAGTGGAATCATCTCACCACGCCAAAGAACATTTTGCAGTAGCTGGCGTGCAGCTCCGCACAGCCAATAGGATGCTTACCACTTGGTTTTATTTATTTAACTCGATGGAACCAAAAGGGTTTATGTTGCAAATGTTTTTAAACTGCTTTAGGCAGTGTGTATTTTTTTTTTATTATCATCTTCCAGTAAAAACGATGCGTTCTCTTGTGTTTTTAGTAAAACGATTAAAATCTGGATCCAGCAGTAGTGAAAGTCTTCACATCAATCCTCTTATTTTACAGTTTTCTGTCAAACAAAAGGACATGTGAGGTCTCCAGGTTGTCGTCTTTGTGCTTAGTGTTGACTAGAAGCACACGAGCATCAGAGACATATTTTAAAATAGTTGACGGTGAAAGATATGGAAGTCCTGAGAGGTCAGAGTGAGAAGAAATATTAAGGCAAAAAAGGTCTTAAAAATAAGATATCTAACGTGCAAGTTTTCTACCTATCTCACTGATAACAAAAAGGGAACATAGGAAAATAACAGACTTTCCAAATGTAATTCAGTGGACTTCTCTTTAAGGCAGGATCCAAAGAAAGTACTGGAGCACACAAATCACTTCAGACAAATTTATTTAGGTGCAAAGGATTAATGTTTCTATGCAGTTCATCTTCCTTAAGAGGGTTTTAACTTTGAGGAAGACGCACTGCCTTCAGTGGTTGGTGTGCTCCAGTACTTTCTTTGGATCCTGCCTGAGAGAAGGAGTCTAATGAATTAGATTTTGAACGTCTTGTGTCCTTCTCTGGAGCACCGAGCTCTATTTGTGGAGCTACTAAAGTGCAAGAGTTACCTTAGGCTTCTACTGTGGTAGAAAAATAACCACATACTCAAAAGAATAACACTAACTGTTATCACAAACCAAAGAACTGAGCTGACTAGATTTGATTATTTGGCCTTTTTCTTTTTACAAAAACTCAAACGTAACTTGTAGAGATGATCCCGGCAGAAGCTGTTACTGCATCTTTTCTTCTGACGTGTTTTAAGCCAATAAAGAGACAATAATAAAACTCACACTTAGAAGACTGATAACCAGATGTTTGTTCTTCTCACCTGCCTCTCTGGGCTTCTGCAGAAACTCGATTAATGACAGATGTGAATGTGACTTCCTGATTGATATACAGTCACTCCATGTCCGCTGCGTGTGGAATATCAAACTGTTTGGAGCCTTTAGGGGAATAAACACTTATTCTGTAACCTGAGTGCCATTTTTACCACAAAGTTGAAATAAACGTTGTTGTTTTTTTTGACTGGACTCAGTTTCATAATGAATCACACAACATGTTGAACCTGTTTATTGTCACTTTGTGCTATTTGTTTTTTTTTAAACCTATCTACATTAATGTTCCATATCTAATCAAAGTAGATCAAACTATTGGAGTGAGAGGATGTTGGACTCAACACGATACAGATGTTTCACTTCATGTTCAGTAACCATGGAGATGCATGTGTCAGCACTTAAAATGCAGAGAGTCCAGAAGAGTCCTTCTACTGTAGATCCTGTAAATACAGACGTGGAGCTCCAGGGGTTCTCACATGATTCTTTTCACTGGTTTCTTTTCTGGGACACTTACATTTTTGATCCTGTGACGTTCAGAAATCTGTTAATAAGAAATGTGTTTTAAAGTTCCAGAGAATTGAATGATTAGTGATATATGAAGGAGGGGGGAGGGGCATGCATTACCTCAGAAGACAGTAAATTATCATGTTCATATTATATATGATGAGATATGATGTTCTTACTGATTCATACTAAGAGCAAAGTGCAGTCTCTGAGATTTGTAACCGACTCCATTCAAGAGAAAGGATTCGAGGAATCCCGTCTCATACCAGCTTGGCTCCGCTCGGCTCAGCAGAATGCCGCTCGGTTGCCAAACCCGCAGGAATGAGTCAATAATGACACTCCATTAAAACCCCTCCACTCTGGCACTCTGATCCTAGTTCTGTTTCTTTTCACAGCACTCAATAACACGAGCAAGTCCAGCAGTCTGTTAGTTTTTTGTGTTTCTTTTTCTCACATGGATGTCACCATGAAATGAATGAGCGGCTGTGCTCAGGTCTACCCAGTGAATAAAAAAGGTTAAGATGAGCTGCGTCAAAAACATGACCGTGAACTCTTCAGCCGAACGTCCACACCTCCAGCTCCATGACTCGGAAGTCGTCGGTTTCGGCGAGGCAGCAGTTGTTGAAGGTGTAGCAGGGGCTGCTGCGGCCCAGGTACAGATTCTCATCCACCCACAGACCAAAGTGACCGCTGCAGGAAACACAGACACAGAGTGGTGAAGACAAACACGTGGTGAGTGGATTCCAGACTGAATAGAGTTCATTCACTTTAACAAAAGAGAGTGTTAAACAACATTACCTTCCTCCACCAATGGCAAATGAGTCCAAGTCTCCTTTGATGAAGAAGGAGTTCTCTCCAGTCCATCTGAAGCACTGAGGAGGAAAGACTCATTCAATCACCACACAACGCCTTTTTATAAAACTGAAGACTCGTTTATTTCAAACTGTGCTACCACTGACTATTTTCAAGAGCGTTTTTAAACAATCATCAAAGAATACCTCAGTGATTTAATTAAAGCCACTTAAGGGGAAATATTTTGGGGTTTTCTGGCATTTCACCCATAGATCGTAAATACTAATGGAAGAAGCCTGAGTGACGTCACCCATCTGTTCCTGCAGGGGGCTCCAGAGTCCCATCGGCAGCAGCCGCTATGATGGAAATGCTGTCTCGCCCTAACTTTTAGTTAACCTAACGACAGGAGAGCTGGAGCTGAGGCGGGTTTTAAGCCTCTTTTGAAACCTTTACATGGCGCCCGCCTGTCAATCATGTCAGATATGCACCTAACTAAGAATAACACGTATTGTTCATAAAATCAAAACGGATGAATAGTAAAATAATTCCCTCCCGAACAGTGTGTGCCAATGAGGACGATAACTAATCAGACCTTTTTCATTTTTTATGTACCAGGCTGTAAACATGTTTATCTCTGCTGTGTATGCGACTTTCTCGGCTCTTGGAGCGCGCCTCTAGTGGACACTCGACGAACTGCAGGATTTTGCAACGCTGCTTTGGCTTCATTTTTCAACACCACTAGATTTCACCGTATTCAGAGAGCAACATTTGTGATCTTTAACAAAATTGTCTGAACAAGCAGAGCTACGCTAACGCTCTGGGGGACAGCTGTCAAGTGGCTTACCTTGAAGCGAGGATGCAGCATGAAGAGGAAGGTCTCTCCGGTGCCGTAGAACGTCTCACTGGGCCTCAGGGGGTGAGAGAGGAAGGCCCCGAATATCTGACCAAGAAAAGCCACAAGACAAATGACATAGCACAAAACAGCTAGAATTGTTAGACCTGATGATGCTCAGTGTGTTCTTACCTCATCGAGTGCATCTTTAATGACGATCAGCACGGGGGAGTCTGTGGAACTCAGTTTTCTGTAGAGGGACTTGAGGCTGGCGCCGTGGCGGGATGTACTGAAAGCCAGCTGCCAGGTGTGGCCGATGGTCCTCGGGGGAAGCTCCTTACACAGCTGAGGGAAAGATTAGAAGAGGGGAGGAATACTACAGGTTAGATAGAAGGAGAAAAAAAAAACACAAAGAGGACGAGATGCTGACCTCTGAACAAGAAGTCAGACGTTGCCAGCGAGCTAAGAAGCTCGTTCTCCCAGGCAGATAAGTTGAATATTTACTCCTACTGAGCTAACAGCTGAATGAAGAAACAGACATTACTAGCCTGCTAATCTTTAAGCTGATGAACATAACGGGTCATTTGCCTTACGGACAAGAAAGATCTTCACAATCTAGACGAGGGGTGGGCAACTGGCGGCCCGGGGGCCACATGCGGCCCCCATCAACTCTCGACGTGGCCCTCGGGTCAGTTTTTTACATGAAGAAAAACATGACAAAAATCTGCCATGAAATCATGAAAACCAGAAATATGTCTATAATAATATTTGATCAGTGGTTTATGTTGAGTTAAATTTGAAACATATTTGACTGTAATTGTTTTTGTATACTACAATGTGGCCCCTTGGCAGTGAGAATTAAATGAATGTGGCCCCTTGCTGTGACCAAAGTTGCCCATCCCTGATCTAGACCACATGCTCTTCATATGTAGGTTGACTTAAAACATAGTTATGCTCAATGTACTTCAAATAAACCCCTACTAAATATAACCAAATCTTCATTGAACATCTTTCCCCATGTATCCAGACTTCATTTAAAATATATCAAACTGACATTCACAGAAAAGTTCTGCACTCGAGCTGAACGTACAGTATGCTGTGTTTTATTATTTAACAGCTGGTGATGTTGCATTTCTCCTTGTTTACAATGCTGGCTGGTTTTGATTGGCTGCAGTTGTATCCTGGCAACTGCTCTAAACATCAGTGAAGTCTCAAAGTCCACAGTGAAATCTCTCCCCCCCCACTTCACAGTTAAAAATACTGTGAACAGGATTTAAAAATTAAAGGTATACTCATTCTTTATTGATAAATGACTGATTTAAATTGTCCCAATGTTATTTGAAACAGCTAGCAGTAACTCTACACCTATGCAGGACTACTAAACACACACACTCTGTGATGCAGAGGAGTGTGTGGACACTTTGTGCTCCCCTGTGTGTCGCTCACCTCTCGGACATGTGAAGCGTCTAAAACTGCGCTGCTCTCGACGATGTTATGGAGTCCTTCAGGATCCCGGTCTATGACGAGGGTCGGCTTTTCCCCGCTCTCTTCCATCAACACCATCTGCAAATAAAACAACAACAACAACAACATTCAAGCATCAAAACCAAAACAAAAGACAGATGCATGAGAGATCTTTTTTTTGCTGCCTGTGAGACTCACCTCCCAATCGTCTCCTGTGCTGCGGTGCCTCTGAAAAACCTCTTCCTCCTCCTCATAATCATCCTCTTCATCTTCCTCCTCCTCTTCCTCCTGTTGGCCGGCCTTCTCTTTGTCCTCGATGAGCACAAACTCCTCTTCGTCGCGGTCCATCTCCTTTCCCTCCTCTCCCCCCTCGAGTACGCACAGGTCTGGTCGACAGTGTGTCAGGTAGGCGTACAGCTCGTCAGCGCTGCAGGGGGAAACGAAAAAGAACAACAGATCAGCTGTGTCAACGCAAAGCAAACACAATAGAGACAAGACGTATGAGGAGCTATGAATGCAAGCTTTAATTTAAATATTCCCTGTAATTGCACATTAGCTGAGACAGAACTTAATAAGCATCCTTGGCTTGGTTTTCTGTTTTATTGAGTAATTATGATCTTTTTATACGACTATACTAAGCATATTAAGATCATAATTCTTGTTCAACAACTTCATAACTTACTATCAATAAGCAGTAATTAGGAGGGCAAACTCTGATTAATGACCTATTAGCTCTAGACAATGGTCATATAGAAATAAGGTACTGATTAGCCTGCCAATGAGCAACTAGGGTCTTTATTAGAACTGACAAATTGTACATAATGATATTCTGTCGCAGCTTTTTGGAGGAACACATCCTGTAGAAATAAAACATTTATTCTGAATGTAAACTGAAGCTGTGGTGCACAGAAGCAATAAATAAATAAGACTCAATACCAAACTATTTCACGTTTTATAAAAGTCAAAGTGCTTCTGAACAGTCGCTGTCTGGTTGCATCACTCGTCTTGTTTTGTTTTCACAGTCAAGACATGTAACTGACTGTTGACATATCATTTCCAGAAGAACCACCTTTGTCCTTTTCGCTGCATTTGACGTTATGTTTTTATTTGGATAATGTTCACTGAGTCACCTGAGTTCAGAAGACAAATAAAGAGTCAATATTCAACCGGAGGACCTGTTTGACAAATCACAACAAAGATGGAATATGTTACTGGATATGTGGATCAGCTGAGCACTTTACAGCCTGTGAGAGTCGACAAATAATGTTTTCTGTGTCTGCTGAGGAGCTTCACAAAGTTTTAACAAACAACCTCAGAGATGTCATGGTTACCATAAGTGAGTCGGGTAGTTTGTGCATGTTAACTTTTTGACAGAAGGCACGATTTGAAAAGCTGGTTTTGTGATTCTGAATGAAGTTTGTATTTTGGTAAACAGTCTAATATCACAAGCTGAAAATGAAATCATCAGATTTGCTACTTTCTCATTAAAAATGTTTATTTTTGGGCTTTTTATGCCTTTATTAGAGTGACAAAAGAGTAAAATCAGACAGCGAGAGAGTGGAGAATGACATGCAGCATATGGAGCCACAGGTCACATTCAAACCTGCTTCAAAATTATATATTGGAGCACTGGGGGAACTGGTAGCCTAGTGGTTAGTGCGTAAGCGTGCAGCCCCGGGTTCTAATCCGACCTGTGGCTCCTTTCCTGCACTTCATTCTCCGCTCAGTTTCTGACTCTATCAATCACAAATAAAGACATAAAAATTAAATTATAAATGACCTACCCCCTTCCAACACTTCTTCTGGCCCCCGCCCCTGATCTTGGTCTCTTACCCCTGTGTCGACTATTTCAGCTTCAAATTGGAGCATTTTATTTTTAAAACTCAGTCCATCCATGATGTTTTTATTTGTTTTACTGTTAACTTTAGCCAATCTTTGTCTCGGTTGTTTCTCTTTTCTCTGTTAATTGGATGATTGCTGCGCGGTTGTTTTATTTTTCATGCTTTATTAAGAGGATTTTATTGTTGTGTATTTGACTCTTGGGATTTTTTCTGTAAAGCACTTTGTGACGTTGGTTTTGATAAGTGCTTTATAAATAAACTTTATTATTATTACAGTACATTTCTCACACATCAGCTACTGTACCTTTCTTGTGAAAGGGTAAGCCAGGCTTCCCTTCTGGGTGACGTTTTGGCCACTCCCAGCTGAAGACCTCCTGCAGCCTTTTTCTTGCCCGCAGCCGCCTGAACTCGCAGTCGCACAAACATCAGACTCCCAGGACTACCTGCTGTCAACGCGGGCGCCACTGACAGTAGAGAACAAGACTGGTTAAAAAATGGTTCTCATAGTAATATGTATGATCATCCAGATTGACCAGAAGCAGCAGTTATACCAGCAGTCTGACTCCTCACGGACGACTTCTCTGTTTCATCAGTGCTCAGCTGCTTTGTTTTGGATTGACCCGCGGCCTCTTGACCTCCACAGCAGAAGGTGGCAGCACTGCTCAGGACGGCAGCTCCAAGGACTCCTGTGGACTCTTCTTGCAGCCCCCCCTGTTGGATTTTATCCAGCTCTCCCTCAGCCGCCGCCATGTCTCTGCTCTCCGTCTCCCCCTCCGCCACAGAAACCTCCTTGGTCAGGCTCAGAGCCAGACCGGACAAATCTGACAGAGGCACAGACACCAGAGCCGGGTCTGACTCCCCCTTTTGGTTTGGGGGGCCTCCTGCTCCTCGCCGTCTTGCAGATTTCAACTTCTGCAGTATTTTCTGTCCTTTCCTCCTTAAAAAAAAAAGAAAAAGAAAAAAGGAAACAAGAACTCTTAAATTGTCTGACCATGTTATCTGAGTCTATGATGGGAGTGTGTGAATGTTTGCTGACCTCTGCTGGAACTTGCTGAAGTGAACATGTGAGATGTCGGAGAAGAAGGAGACAGACGACAGATTATCAATAGAGCAGGAGAGGAGGTATTCCTCACAGCCATGCTCCTTCACCAGAGGGTGTGTCTTACACGGGTCGAAGAAGATCTTATTAGAGGTCACCAACAGGATACCTGAAACCACACCCTGAAACACACGGGACATTTAAGTCTAAAATGTGTGACTAAAACTGAGATCAGACTTATACTGAGCGGCTCACACCCACTTTACGGTCTGTGATGTAGCGACAGAACAGTTTGAGGTACTGCATGGCCTCTGGTCCCTCGCCCTCGCAGCACTCCGGTGGGAGAGCCAACAAGCAGAGCTGTCCGTCGGGCATCGGCACCGTCTCCACATCCTGTCAAAATCACAAATGTCTCCCGCATAAACAGATACAACACAAGCTGAAACAAAACAGGTTTCTGAGGTTTCTTTCACTCCTTTTTAAAGCAAAACTTGGAAGTTAACTGATTATAGTTTGTTTTTGTGTTGTTAGTCAGTTAAAGGAGCAGTATGTAACTCTGACACCTAGTGTTTAAAACAGGTACTGCAGTCAAAAGTTTAAACATTGAAGAGCGCTGCCTCCATTAGTAAAACTGAAATACCAAGCTAGCAATCCATCTGAAGAACAACATTTCCCCTGGTTTTAAGGTGATTTATGGATACCAAGTCCAATGTATCTCCGTTCATAAAATGCTTAATAATTTGATACGTACAACAGAAAATAAAAGTCGTGCTGCAGCTCATAATTTCAGAAAAAGAAACCAAAAATGTTCTGTCACAGATTTATGCTTGTTTGCTTTTCTACATCCACAAAAAAAGCACAGAGTACTTAATTTATTTCCATGTTCATAAATTTAGTCTGCACTCAGCTTTGCAATGATTTAATGACTTGTTAGGCGCTTGTTTCCAAGGCAACGTGTTCTGTTAATTTGATTTGTCATAAAAAAAACCTTTTTCAGCTCATTTTTCATTTCCCCCAAACTCATTACCCTCTAATAGCTTGAATACATGGAGAGTGATCTCACCACGAGCGGACACAGACACAGCTGTGCTCCATCGGATGAAGCTTTTATTCGAACTCTGAATGCACAATCAAAGCTCTATAGTTTCTTCACTGACAGAGAGGAGGCTCCCAGAGGAGGACAGACTCTTGCTGTCAGTGCGACACCCAACAGGTAGAGACAGAGCTCCGCTTCCTCACATCACGCCCCGAATACCAGGCTGTGAGAGAGGAATGATTCCCCCCCCCGAAATGACACCCTTACATCCTGAATGTGAACAAACAACTCACACACACACACACACAAAACAAGCAACTGGTTCAGATATACCAGATTCTACCGACCTAAAAAGCAAGCTCCACGACCAGAAAATCCAAAAAAACAGGATAAATATTGGAGATACTTTTGAAAAATGGAGAGAGGTTAGAACGCAGAAAGGTTTCAAGAACGATGCAGAGCTGGATAAACGCTGAAGCTTCAGTGTCTGCCTCGACTCTAGGGAGGAGGGGGAGGGGGGGACAGTTGTTCTTTAGATGGATTGCTAGCTTGATATATTTCAGTTTAACTAAGGGAGGCAGCTCTCTCCAATGTTTTGACTTTTGACTGCAGTACCCGTTTTAAACACTAGGAGTCAGAGTTACATACTCCTCCTTTAATGACATTTAATCATTCTGAATTTCATTCTCTTGTTTCGACAGGTGGTGGTGTAGCTAGTTTTTTTTGCTTGTTTTATACACAGTTTGATAATTCAGTCTTCTGATTCTCCAGGGAGGGTCAACCTCTCCACAGAGTAAGAGATGATATCGTCTTTATCAATGTCAAAAAGGAAAGAGTAAATAAAGCTTTCAACAAAAGAAGTGGAGGTAAAAGTTTGAGGAACATCAAAATGAAGTAATTAGACGTCCTTAATCGTTTCTACAGAGTAAAACCTTTTAGATGTTGTGCTTACCAGTAGTTTGTCATATTCTGCCTCTGGTGAGGGGGACTGAGGCTGAGCAGAGAGAGTCTCCAAAGATTCTGGATCAGCCTCGGTGTCCGGCTTCAGGTGACGATCAGAGCGTTGGTCCAGCTCTACTTTGGATGATTTTCCACTGGTCGAAGGGTTTTTTCCCTTCGGGACGAGCAACTGCTTCAAAATAGAAGCCATGATAAGATTAGCTCTGACATTGAAACCGACACCAGAGTGACTACTTCCTCTTTCTACAGGCCTGCATTTCCCCCTCTTCTCTTTGTTTGTAGTCACATCTCAGCTTCCATGTGTCACATGAGGGTTAAGAGTGGAGGGACATTTTTTTTTTAACTGGCTGAGGCCATTCAATTGACTAAAGAGTACATTTTGCATACTATCAGTTTGAGTTTGCTCACAGCGATCGGTTTCAGTGAT